CTTTCAGATTAGTGAAAACTGTACCAGTGTGAAGACACACAGAAGGATGGGGACTTTGAATTTCACAGGTGGGACTAGACAGAGTGCAAAGGTTTCTGAAGTGAATGTCACAGCCCTGGCTTGAAACAAAGGTCAGGGTGCATGGACTGAGAGCCACACGCTGCCAGCACCGAGTGGACTCAGACAGCAGCCGAGAAAACACGCAAATGCATAGACACGCCGTCTCTGCTCACTACACTGTGGGGCACGAGCAGTCCACCGCCTTCTATGTCTGCTAAAGAGCAGTGAAAACATTCACTGAAAACCTCCATTAAGTGGTTTCCCTGGGAGGAGGGAAAAACCAGCCAGCCAAAAGCCACCCACAGTTTTTATAGGGTGTTGATGAGGTTTCTGGAGGAAACAAACTCAAAGGGCTCACCAACTCATTCGCCTGGCCCTTAGTCTCACTGTCATTTCTCGTAGTATAGCTCAGGAATAATGCCCCCTTCTCAGTTCAAGGATACGCAGTATTAATAAGAAATCAGCACTTAAAATGATTTCTTTAAAATGTGGCATTTAAAAAGAAATATCACACATATACACAGAGGTAGATGAATAAAACACATCAGAAAGATCATACCAAAGCAGGTGAAAATCAAAACATATTTCTTCAAAAAGTAATCTGGCATTGTACATTGACAGCAAAAATTCACCTAGGAAATCATCCTATAGAACAGCTCTGCCCACTATAGTAGCCACCAATGTGGCCACCCAACCAGGTTCATTTGCCCATGCCCAAGAGGAAGCCAATATGCTGAGACAGCAGGGTTTATGGCAGAATGTGAACGGAAAAAATTCTGAAATATTTGAAGGAAGTTTATTTTGAGCCAAATTTGAAGAGAAAGTTTATTCCGCATAGTGCTAAGCAGGGAGATGGGAGGAATGTCTCAAATCTGCCTCCCCCAGAATTTGGGAGAAGGGTTTTTAAAGACAATTTGGCATAGGCAATTGAGTCTGCTAATTGGCCATGTTTGGGGTGAAACCGTAGGGTTGTAGGAGTAGGGTTGTAGGAATTATCTTCTTTGCGTACAGGTTCTTGGGTAGGGGTCACAAGACCAGTTGAGTCAGTTCCTCGGTTTGGGCAACTGGTCTGGGTGGCTCGGTAGTTCCACTGGAAATGTGGGACCTGGAAGATATCTCAGAAGCTACCCCTAGGTTTCAAAAAGGTGACGTTATCTATGGAGAAAGCTAAGACTCTTTATGACCACCAGCTATGTGGCTCCAGAGCAGCAATTATAGAGAAGCAAACAGGGGCCAGTGGCTAATTATTACCATTATTTTTAGCCAGGCCTGTGCCTTATTTTTCCGCCAAGCCCTTACCACAGTTCTTGCCTTGCACCCCTTTATCAATTCGTAAAGGCAGTTTCGCTAATACTTGAAATATAAAGGAACCAAATAACTAAAATTTAAAAATTTAAAAACTGATACTCATTACAATGATCAGAAAACTTTTAAGCATGTTTAGAACAACCTGGGCATGTGAATTTACCTTTCAATTTTAATTCTATGAAATCTAAATAGATCAGGTATTGCCAATAAAAATTTAGTTTCTCAGTTGGGATGTACACAACATATTTTGAATTTAGTTTGATAAAAATGTAAAATATTTCACTGAAATAATATCTTCAATATATTGGGCTAAATATATTTTTTACCTGCTTCTTACTTCTTGCATTATATCTCTATCGGCATTGGGTAAGGGTCAGGGGAAACTTGCCCTTTCCCCCAAAGGTTCACTGAAAGATCAACTCACAATTAAGGCAGATTAATAAGAAAACAGGTGTATTTACCATGCGCATGGGCAGAATCACATAGTGATTACCCAATATCCCAGTGAAGTTCAGATATTTTTTATACATGCCTTTTGTGGGGGGTGGGGAATGAGAAGTATAGGTAATTCTGTTTAGGGGCAATAAAGGGTTGCCAGGGAGAATGAATGGATAGAGGAAACATTGACTTGCAAATTAACCTGACAGACAGGTTATCATGTTTTAAATGATTTGGGCCAGGTCTGGTTGCATTCTTGATCTTCTTTCCTGCAATATAGTGAGATAACAGGGAGAGGAAGGGAAGTCAATTGCCCCCTTTGATCAGGTCAGTCCAGTTTATGCAGATAGAAAGTTCCCTCCAGTGCTTTGTTGATCTGGAGGGGCCTGAAATCCAAAATACTCTTTATACCAAGGAGTCATATTTTGGTGTGAAATTTCCTGAGCTCCTTCATTTGGCATAGAAAATAGAAGCACCAGTATATAAAGAAAATATATACACAATGTTCAAAGTAGGGGGAAGAAACCGCTCAAAACCTGTTAACAAAGTAAATGCATGCCCATAGAGAAATTATTTGATTAATACATATACATAATATGCTATGGGCTATTATGAACCCTTTGAGAAGAAAGATTTGCCAGTGGAATTGAAAATATTCACAAAGATTATGATAGAAGAAAAGTAATCTACATAGGTGATTGTAAAATACGCTATGGCCTGAAATCGAAAAAAAGTACAGAAGGCTGCATATCAGGTTATTTAACATGCATTACCTGTATGTGGTGAGAAACAGCGAAATGGGAGGAAAGTAAGTAAGAAGAAAATAAAAGGTCTAACTTCCCTCCCTCTCTCAGCATGTATATTACCTTATTTATGTAGAATTCTACACACACGCAAATAGGAGAAGGGAAAGACAGAGCTAGAAATATATATAATGACTTGTAGGAATGCCCACGGTTTGTTGTCAACTGGAAAGAAAGAAGTTGAAGGTAACATGTAAAGATTCACTCTGTTTGTGTATCAACAACAAATTGCCCACATTCTTATATATGTTGACAAAAGCAAGAGGAAGAGCATGCTCGTCAATTCACAATGATAATCTAAGGGGTGTGGTACTGCAAAGAGTCTAGGGTGAACAGGCTAGGGACAAAGATGTTTCCCTATGTATATACTTTTTCTTAGTTATATATGCATTTACATATACAATCTTCATTCTTATTGCAAGTAGCTATTGCCCTTTATAATTTGAAAAGGAAATCGTAATAAAGAGGGTAGAAATTAAGTTTTTTTGAAATAAAAAAAGCTCAGAGAAGAGCTATAAATATTTAGTAATAGTAATGACAGAAGACAGAATTTAAAAATTAGTTGGCCAGAGATCCACACTAAAGGCAGCAAAGAGATTCTCTTAAAGAGATTCTTGGGAATAAAATGGAGTAGAAAAATGCAAGGAGTTAAAGAGGATTAGAGAGAAAATAATAGCGATAGCAGATAAAGGAGAGCTGAAAATACAACCATCGGGACTGGGCCACAGAGCTCCGATGTGCCACACCATGCCCCCTACCCCACCACGTCCATGGCAAATTGTCTTCCATGGAACTTGGTGGTGGGGCACACAGCTGCAGGTGAGCGGCAGGTGAGTTCGCCTGGATTTACAGCTGCTCCTCATCACTGGCATCACTGGCTGAACCGCCTGGGCTCTGCCTCCATGTCCAAAATTGTCTTCCATGAAACTGATCCCTGGTGCCAAAAAGGTTGGGGACCACTGCCATAGGCTATTATGAAGCCTGATACCAAAAGGGAGAATGAGGAAAAGGCATGCACATATATGTTCCTAAAATAAAGCCTAAAAAGACTGAAAAGTGACATTGAGTTCTAAGAAAAATTAATACAAATGATTAATAATTAGAAATAGTATATTGTACTTCAGGGATAAATAGTCCTTTGGGCATTTGGCCTCCTCCTTCACCACCACCAAAAACAAAACCCAACTATTAACACATGGATTTTTAAAAAAATTAGTCTTGTGTGTGGACAGAAGACAAAATATAAACAAAATAAATTAGGTCACATTCAGAATCTCTTCCTTGCGAATCACCTTTTGATTCGTCAAATGAGTTTGTTTTCACATGATGTGGTCTTTATGCTGTTGAGAGCAATGGTGATGAGCATTTAATTAAGAGTGTCCCACCATTATCTCTGGAATTTTCCTCACAGACTCTGACACTCATCAGTCAAGTCTGATGCTGATGTCTTCTTGGTTGATTGAATTCCCAGTGGCTTTCAGATCTCAACTGCTTCTTGTGTGGCTCTTTGACTAAAGACTAGCTGTTTTCCAGTCTTGTCCCTGGGAATGTGTTACTGGGTTTTCACATGAATAGGTCCACAATTATGCCCCACGAAAGGTTGACTTCTTGAACAGAGACATGGATATCATACACCCTTGTGGTATATCATATTATCTCTGCAAAATAGCCACTATCCCTCCCTATGACCAGATAGTTCGTTTATGGTCATTGACATGCTAGTCATAGGACTTGGTTTGGGTGGTGGAACATGCCCCACATGGGGGCTGCTCCTTTAGTCTGGGTCCTGGAAATGAAGACAGGGTGGATTATGGCCAAAATTGACCATAACAAACATGTAATGTTAGTGAAAAATAAGTTCTAAGCCACTGAGGTTTTTGGGTTGTTACTGCAGCATAATTTAGCTTAAGCTGACTGATAGAACTCTCTAAGCAGACGGGATTTAAACCCCGATTTTCATATGGTCTGTATATTCTCCTGAAGGACTCTGATTTTTGCAGGACTTCCTGAAGGTAGCCAATCAGTAGGAGATTGATGATTAGTTTTCCTTCATGTGAGATTCAAGTTCAGGCTATTTCAGGTAAGCAAGGGTGCATGCAGAGTGACCTCACCTGAGATGCGTTTAAAACGAGTCCCCCGGACTACTTAGAGACTCACTTCGCACAGGGAGTGGGTGTGGGTGAGTCACAGCCCAGTTGTTGGTACCACCATTTATACCTGTATTCTAGTGAAATGCTTTGGAAATTTAAAGTCAGAAAACATCGTTGGGACAGGAAACGACACCTCACTTTGGGACACCATAGTAGTTCTTAGTAGGGAAGGAACAAAGAGGAGGAAGATGGAGTTCTGAAGCATTCACTCATGTTTTTTCTTCTTTCCTTGCAATTAAAGCAGATCCCATGATGGAAGTATCAATCTGCAGACAATTCTGTACTCAGAGTTCCACCGGAGAAGTGGCTGGACTCAAAATGTATTCCGGATCCAACTGCAGTTAAGTGTTGATGGCTTCAACAATTCGCAGCAACCCTTCAAGGAATACAGGCTGTGGTTTCCTCCTGGGATGACCTCACCGGGACCCTTGACAACAGTGCTGGTGGAAAGTAGAATGAAACAGTTAGTTGAGCCTTAGACGGCAGAAACAGTAGGTGAACAAAAGAGGAAGCATTAAAAATAGCACAGGACAGGAAGCCGACTTCCTCCCTCACATTCTGATTAAGGTGGGTTAAGGACAAAAGCACTGAGGATTTACTTTTGGCTCTCAAATTCCAGGTGTCCAAGCACTTTCTCTGTTTCCTCCAGAACAAAGAAAGCATAGGACAATCCTTATAAAACACTTGCCCATTAAGGTGGGCATCCGAGATGGGGATGTCGAATTCTGCAAGTAGAAACTGTACAGGGCAGTGGGGGCTGACCCAGGTCCCTGGGGGTCTCTGATCCACCATGGCTCATCACCATGTTGTCAGGACAGCCTCGATCCCCTCCACGGGGAGGCGGAAAGGGTAGGGGAGCAGCTAGGGTCATGCGCTTGGTGGGCAGACAGACCTGAATTCTGTATCTCGAATGTGGTTAGAATTGCTGTACAAGTTCTTACTTTTAAATAAAGACAGAGTCAAAATTATTTTTTAAAAAGCAGATGGGGTCTTTAGACCTGATTTTATTAACAGTACTGGAGTATAAATAAGTTATAACCAAGAATACAATACCTGCTCAATAGATCTTGGCAACAAGACATCACTTTGGTTGCATTGCTAGGTAAACTAGAGTTGAAGGCAGTCTCTAAAATGTGATGGCAGTTGATGTCCACGGGAGTGCTGGAGAGTATACCTAGAAGTGGGACAGAGCGCCATTTATTTAAGTAATCAAGGACGTCACTGAACTCTCTGTTGTTAGCTTCTCCACCATGCCTTTTGTGGGAGGGTGGGTGTAGATGTAGTATATGTAATTCTGTTTAGGGCAATAAAGGGTTGCCAGGGGAGAATGAATGGATAGAGGAAACATTGACTTGCAAAATTAACCTGACAGACAGGTTATCATGTTTTAAATGATTTGGGCCAGGTCTGGTTGCATTCTTGATCTTCTTTCCTGCATATAGTGAGATAACAGGTGAGAGGAAGGGAATTCAATTGCCCCCTTTGATCAGGTCATCCAGTTTATGCAGATAGAAAGTTCCCTCCAGTGCTTTGTTGATCTGGAGGGCCTGAAATCCAAAATACTTCTATACCAAGGAGTCATATTTTGGTGTGAAATTTCCTGAGCTCCTTCATTTGGCATAGAAAATAGAAGCACCAGTATATAAAGAGAAATATATACACAATGTTCAAAGTAGGGGAAGGAAACCGCTCAAAACCTGTTAACAAAGTAAATGCTGCCATAGAGAATTATTTGATTAATACATATACATATATGTATGGGCTATTATGAACCCTTTGAGAAGAAAGATTGCCAGTGAATTGAAAATATTCACAAATTATGATAGAGAAAAAGTAATCTACATAGGTGATTTGTAAAATACGTCATGGCCTGAAATCGAAAAAAAGTACAGAAGGCTGCATATCAGGTTATTAACATGCATACCTGTATGTGGTGAGAAACAGCGAAATGGTGAGGAAAGTAAGTAAGAAGAAATAAAAGGTTAACTTCCGCCCTCTCTCAGCATGTATATTACCTTATTTATGTAGAATTCTACACACACGCAAATAGGAGAAAGGGAAAGAGAGAGCTAGAAATATATATAATGACTTGTAGGAATGTCCACGTTTGTTGTCAACTGGAAAGAAAAAAGTTGAAGGTAACATGTAAAGATTCATTCTATTTGTGTATCAACAACAATTGCCCACATTCTTATATATGTTGACAAAGCAGAGGAAGAGCATGCTCGTCAATTCACAATGATAATCTAAGGTGGGGGTGGTACTGCAAGAGTCTAGGGTGAACAGGTAGGGACAAAGATGTTTCCCTATGTATATACTTTTTCTTAGTTATATATGCATTTACATATACAATCTTCATTCTTATTGCAAGTAGCTATTGCCCTTTATAATTGAAAAGGAAATCGTAATAAAGAGGGGTAAATAAGTTTTTTGAAATAAAAAAAGCTCAGAGAAGAGCTATAAATATTTAGTAATAGTAATGACAGAAGACAGAATTTAAAAATTAGTTGGCAAGATCCACACTAAAGGCAGCAAAGAGATTCTCTTAAGAGATTCTGGGAATAAAATGGAGTAGAAAAATGCAAGGAGTTAAAGAGGATTAGGAGAGAAAATAATAGCCATAGCAGATAAAGGAGAGCTGAAAATACAACCATCGGGACTGGGCCCAGAGCCGATGTGCCACACCATGCCCCTACCCACACGTCCATGGAAAATTGTCTTCCATGGAACTTGGTTGGTGGGCACACAGCTGCAGGTGAGCGGCAGGTGAGTTCGCCTGGATTTACAGCTGCTCCCATCACTGGCATCACTGGCGAACCGCCTGGCTCTGCCTCCATGTCCAAAATTGTATCACGTCCCCTGCTCCCACTCCGGTATGGTCAGGGTGGTTTAATCCTTCCTGGAACATCATGTTCTTGTTGGCCTTTAATACCTTCTTCACAAGCATGCCTGCCTTTTGGAATTGTTCTGTAATTGGAAATCATCCTCACTGGGAAAGCGTACGTCCTAAACCCTTCCCAGAGCCCTACCAGCCTAATTAAACTACAGAAATATAAAAGCAATTAGGTGGGAGCATTTGCAAAACAAATGCATATTAGTAACCTGCATAGTTACAAAGACTTTGTAACATAGACTTAACTGCTTGTATATGTTGACTTTACCAATGGAAAAAAAAAAATCAAAGAAAATTCTCCACATATTAGGACTCCAGTCTATTCTTGGCTGAGACCCTAAGGCCTCTCCGGGGTCAGAGACTTTGTTTATAACTATAGCTTCCGGATTGTGAAGAGATACCATTTCTGCCCTGTCCTCCCCCCAACTCCGACCCACCCTCTTGCAAAGCAAAGGAGAAAGAGACTGAGAATAAGCAGCGGGAAAGCAAACTTCCACCTTCATCGTAACTAGGAAACACTCATATCTGGAACCATAATACTGCGTATGAAAAGGGGCTTTCAGATTAGTGAAAACTGTACCAGTGTGAAGACACACAGAAGGATGGGGACTTTGAATTTCACAGGTGGGACTAGACAGAGTGCAAAGGTTTCTGAAGTGAATGTCACAGCCCTGGCTTGAAACAAAGGTCAGGGTGCATGGACTGAGAGCCACACGCTGCCAGCACCGAGTGGACTCAGACAGCAGCCGAGAAAACACGCAAATGCATAGACACGCCGTCTCTGCTCACTACACTGTGGGGCACGAGCAGTCCACCGCCTTCTATGTCTGCTAAAGAGCAGTGAAAACATTCACCGAAAACCTCCATTAAGTGGTTTCCCTGGGAGGAGGGAAAAACCAGCCAGCCAAAAGCCACCCACAGTTTTTATAGGGTGTTGATGAGGTTTCTGGAGGAAACAAACTCAAAGGGCTCACCAACTCATTCGCCTGGCCCTTAGTCTCACTGTCATTTCTCGTAGTATAGCTCAGGAATAATGCCCCCTTCTCAGTTCAAGGATACGCAGTATTAATAAGAAATCAGCACTTAAAATGATTTCTTTAAAATGTGGCATTTAAAAAGAAATATCACACATATACACAGAGGTAGATGAATAAAACACATCAGAAAGATCATACCAAAGCAGGTGAAAATCAAAACATATTTCTTCAAAAAGTAATCTGGCATTGTACATTGACAGCAAAAATTCACCTAGGAAATCATCCTATAGAACAGCTCTGCCCACTATAGTAGCCACCAATGTGGCCACCCAACCAGGTTCATTTGCCCATGCCCAAGAGGAAGCCAATATGCTGAGACAGCAGGGTTTATGGCAGAATGTGAACGGAAAAAATTCTGAAATATTTGAAGGAAGTTTATTTTGAGCCAAATTTGAAGAGAAAGTTTATTCCGCATAGTGCTAAGCAGGGAGATGGGAGGAATGTCTCAAATCTGCCTCCCCCAGAATTTGGGAGAAGGGTTTTTAAAGACAATTTGGCATAGGCAATTGAGTCTGCTAATTGGCCATGTTTGGGGTGAAACCGTAGGGTTGTAGGAGTAGGGTTGTAGGAATTATCTTCTTTGCGTACAGGTTCTTGGGTAGGGGTCACAAGACCAGTTGAGTCAGTTCCTCGGTTTGGGCAACTGGTCTGGGTGGCTCGGTAGTTCCACTGGAAATGTGGGACCTGGAAGATATCTCAGAAGCTACCCCTAGGTTTCAAAAAGGTGATGTTATCTATGGAGAAAGCTAAGACTCTTTATGACCACCAGCTATGTGGCTCCAGAGCAGCAATTATAGAGAAGCAAACAGGGGCCAGTGGCTAATTATTACCATTATTTTTAGCCAGGCCTGTGCCTTATTTTTCCGCCAAGCCCTTACCACAGTTCTTGCCTTGCACCCCTTTATCAATTCGTAAAGGCAGTTTCGCTAATACTTGAAATATAAAGGAACCAAATAACTAAAATTTAAAAATTTAAAAACTGATACTCATTACAATGATCAGAAAACTTTTAAGCATGTTTAGAACAACCTGGGCACGTGAATTTACCTTTCAATTTTAATTCTATGAAATCTAAATAGATCAGGTATTGCCAATAAAAATTTAGTTTCTCAGTTGGGATGTACACAACATATTTTGAATTTAGTTTGATAAAAATGTAAAATATTTCACTGAAATAATATCTTCAATATATTGGGCTAAATATATTTTTTACCTGCTTCTTACTTCTTGCATTATATCTCTATCGGCATTGGGTAAGGGTCAGGGGAAACTTGCCCTTTCCCCCAAAGGTTCACTGAAAGATCAACTCACAATTAAGGCAGATTAATAAGAAAACAGGTGTATTTACCATGCGCATGGGCAGAATCACATAGTGATTACCCAATATCCCAGTGAAGTTCAGATATTTTTTATACATGCCTTTTGTGGGGGGTGGGGAATGAGAAGTATAGGTAATTCTGTTTAGGGGCAATAAAGGGTTGCCAGGGAGAATGAATGGATAGAGGAAACATTGACTTGCAAATTAACCTGACAGACAGGTTATCATGTTTTAAATGATTTGGGCCAGGTCTGGTTGCATTCTTGATCTTCTTTCCTGCAATATAGTGAGATAACAGGGAGAGGAAGGGAAGTCAATTGCCCCCTTTGATCAGGTCAGTCCAGTTTATGCAGATAGAAAGTTCCCTCCAGTGCTTTGTTGATCTGGAGGGGCCTGAAATCCAAAATACTCTTTATACCAAGGAGTCATATTTTGGTGTGAAATTTCCTGAGCTCCTTCATTTGGCATAGAAAATAGAAGCACCAGTATATAAAGAAAATATATACACAATGTTCAAAGTAGGGGGAAGAAACCGCTCAAAACCTGTTAACAAAGTAAATGCATGCCCATAGAGAAATTATTTGATTAATACATATACATAATATGCTATGGGCTATTATGAACCCTTTGAGAAGAAAGATTTGCCAGTGGAATTGAAAATATTCACAAAGATTATGATAGAAGAAAAGTAATCTACATAGGTGATTGTAAAATACGCTATGGCCTGAAATCGAAAAAAAGTACAGAAGGCTGCATATCAGGTTATTTAACATGCATTACCTGTATGTGGTGAGAAACAGCGAAATGGGAGGAAAGTAAGTAAGAAGAAAATAAAAGGTCTAACTTCCCTCCCTCTCTCAGCATGTATATTACCTTATTTATGTAGAATTCTACACACACGCAAATAGGAGAAGGGAAAGACAGAGCTAGAAATATATATAATGACTTGTAGGAATGCCCACGGTTTGTTGTCAACTGGAAAGAAAGAAGTTGAAGGTAACATGTAAAGATTCACTCTGTTTGTGTATCAACAACAAATTGCCCACATTCTTATATATGTTGACAAAAGCAAGAGGAAGAGCATGCTCGTCAATTCACAATGATAATCTAAGGGGTGTGGTACTGCAAAGAGTCTAGGGTGAACAGGCTAGGGACAAAGATGTTTCCCTATGTATATACTTTTTCTTAGTTATATATGCATTTACATATACAATCTTCATTCTTATTGCAAGTAGCTATTGCCCTTTATAATTTGAAAAGGAAATCGTAATAAAGAGGGTAGAAATTAAGTTTTTTTGAAATAAAAAAAGCTCAGAGAAGAGCTATAAATATTTAGTAATAGTAATGACAGAAGACAGAATTTAAAAATTAGTTGGCCAGAGATCCACACTAAAGGCAGCAAAGAGATTCTCTTAAAGAGATTCTTGGGAATAAAATGGAGTAGAAAAATGCAAGGAGTTAAAGAGGATTAGAGAGAAAATAATAGCGATAGCAGATAAAGGAGAGCTGAAAATACAACCATCGGGACTGGGCCACAGAGCTCCGATGTGCCACACCATGCCCCCTACCCCACCACGTCCATGGCAAATTGTCTTCCATGGAACTTGGTGGTGGGGCACACAGCTGCAGGTGAGCGGCAGGTGAGTTCGCCTGGATTTACAGCTGCTCCTCATCACTGGCATCACTGGCTGAACCGCCTGGGCTCTGCCTCCATGTCCAAAATTGTCTTCCATGAAACTGATCCCTGGTGCCAAAAAGGTTGGGGACCACTGCCATGGGCTATTATGAAGCCTGATACCAAAAGGGAGAATGAGGAAAAGGCATGCACATATATGTTCCTAAAATAAAGCCTAAAAAGACTGAAAAGTGACATTGAGTTCTAAGAAAAATTAATACAAATGATTAATAATTAGAAATAGTATATTGTACTTCAGGGATAAATAGTCCTTTGGGCATTTGGCCTCCTCCTTCACCACCACCAAAAACAAAACCCAACTATTAACACATGGATTTTTAAAAAAATTAGTCTTGTGTGTGGACAGAAGACAAAATATAAACAAAATAAATTAGGTCACATTCAGAATCTCTTCCTTGCGAATCACCTTTTGATTCGTCAAATGAGTTTGTTTTCACATGATGTGGTCTTTATGCTGTTGAGAGCAATGGTGATGAGCATTTAATTAAGAGTGTCCCACCATTATCTCTGGAATTTTCCTCACAGACTCTGACACTCATCAGTCAAGTCTGATGCTGATGTCTTCTTGGTTGATTGAATTCCCAGTGGCTTTCAGATCTCAACTGCTTCTTGTGTGGCTCTTTGACTAAAGACTAGCTGTTTTCCAGTCTTGTCCCTGGGAATGTGTTACTGGGTTTTCACATGAATAGGTCCACAATTATGCCCCACGAAAGGTTGACTTCTTGAACAGAGACATGGATATCATACACCCTTGTGGTATATCATATTATCTCTGCAAAATAGCCACTATCCCTCCCTATGACCAGATAGTTCGTTTATGGTCATTGACATGCTAGTCATAGGACTTGGTTTGGGTGGTGGAACATGCCCCACATGGGGGCTGCTCCTTTAGTCTGGGTCCTGGAAATGAAGACAGGGTGGATTATGGCCAAAATTGACCATAACAAACATGTAATGTTAGTGAAAAATAAGTTCTAAGCCACTGAGGTTTTTGGGTTGTTACTGCAGCATAATTTAGCTTAAGCTGACTGATAGAACTCTCTAAGCAGACGGGATTTAAACCCCGATTTTCATATGGTCTGTATATTCTCCTGAAGGACTCTGATTTTTGCAGGACTTCCTGAAGGTAGCCAATCAGTAGGAGATTGATGATTAGTTTTCCTTCATGTGAGATTCAAGTTCAGGCTATTTCAGGTAAGCAAGGGTGCATGCAGAGTGACCTCACCTGAGATGCGTTTAAAACGAGTCCCCCGGACTACTTAGAGACTCACTTCGCACAGGGAGTGGGTGTGGGTGAGTCACAGCCCAGTTGTTGGTACCACCATTTATACCTGTATTCTAGTGAAATGCTTTGGAAATTTAAAGTCAGAAAACATCGTTGGGACAGGAAACGACACCTCACTTTGGGACACCATAGTAGTTCTTAGTAGGGAAGGGGTGGGCTGGGAAGGAACAAAGAGGAGGAAGATGGAGTTCTGAAGCATTCACTCATGTTTTTTCTTCTTTCCTTGCAATTAAAGCAGATCCCATGATGGAAGTATCAATCTGCAGACAATTCTGTACTCAGAGTTCCACCGGAGAAGTGGCTGGACTCAAAATGTATTCTGGATCCAACTGCAGTTAAGTGTTGATGGCTTCAACAATTCGCAGCAACCCTTCAAGGAATACAGGCTGTGGTTTCCTCCTGGGATGACCTCACCGGGACCCTTGACAACAGTGCTGGTGGAAAGTAGAATGAAACAGTTAGTTGAGCCTTAGACGGCAGAAACAGTAGGTGAACAAAAGAGGAAGCATTAAAAATAGCACAGGACAGGAAGCCGACTTCCTCCCTCACATTCTGATTAAGGTGGGTTAAGGACAAAAGCACTGAGGATTTACTTTTGGCTCTCAAATTCCAGGTGTCCAAGCACTTTCTCTGTTTCCTCCAGAACAAAGAAAGCATAGGACAATCCTTATAAAACACTTGCCCATTAAGGTGGGCATCCGAGATGGGGATGTCGAATTCTGCAAGTAGAAACTGTACAGGGCAGTGGGGGCTGACCCAGGTCCCTGGGGGTCTCTGATCCACCATGGCTCATCACCATGTTGTCAGGACAGCCTCGATCCCCTCCACGGGGAGGCGGAAAGGGTAGGGGAGCAGCTAGGGTCATGCGCTTGGTGGGCAGACAGACCTGAATTCTGTATCTCGAATGTGGTTAGAATTGCTGCACAAGTTCTTACTTTTAAATAAAGACAGAGTCAAAACTATTTTTTAAAAAGCAGATGGGGTCTTTAGGCCTGATTTTATTAACAGTACCGGAGTATAAATAAGTTATAACCAAGAATACAATACCTGCTCAATAGATCTTGGCAACAAGACATTACTTTGGTTGCATTGCTAGGTAAACTAGAGTTGAAGGCAGTCTCTAAAATGTGATGGCAGTTGATGTCCACGGGAGTGCTGGAGAGTATACCTAGAAGTGGGACAGAGCGCCATTTATTTAAGTAATCAAGGACGTCACTGAACTCTCTGTTGTTAGCTTCTCCACCATGGTGCACACACTGAACGTTCCAGAGTGCTCACAGAAGCTCTGACTCTCAGCTTTCTGCAGCCGCATGTGCTGCTTATGCAGTCTGGAGACGCTGACAAGTCCCTCCCTGTCCCCCCTCCCCAAAAGCTGCCTCCTTTGGGCATCCAGGACACAGAGAACAGGGCGCAGTACCTGCGATGCAGGCTGTCATGAAGCAGGCGACGGTCCCTGCGATCAGAGCTCTCACTGCCCCTGAGGCGATGTCACGCTTTCTGGAAGGAGTTATGGATGCTGGAAAGCACGAAGGAGGTATGTGAGATTAACGTTGAGGGTAGTGATTAGACATCAAATTTCCAGTCTCTCAAAATTGTCCTAGGGCTGGGGTCTCAGGTCATCTGACACCCCCACTCCCTCCCTTTTTAACTTAGCTAAGCAAGGTTCAAGAGCTTCGTGATGCACTCTACATCCAGAGAAGTTCTCTGGATGGTGTGAGAAGAAGGGAAGAGGTTTGTCCACCAAAAGGCTCAGAGGTTTCCATTCTCCACAGAAAAATCAAGCCCTAAGTCCTAATGGATTGTAAGGAGGGATCAGCTAAGGAGATGGTCTGCAACTCAACTGCCACCATCTACTTCTACTTCCATGGCAGATGTCACTAATGAATCACAGCACATTTCCACTGAACTTCCATTGGCACTCAGAATCCTTTTCCAGGTGGCCATTGAATTACAAATCTACTGGCATTGGCAGGCAAGGTGAAGCCTGTGTGTCACCCTTGGGTAGGAAGAAGCAGTTGTACATTTGAGAAAATTCTTCCTGAGGTTAGCTTGGGTGTACAAAGGAAAACCTCTACAAAGAGCAGAGATTAAAAACCTATTTTTAATCTCTGCTCTTTGTAGAGCAGAGATTAAAAATAGACCCCCAGCGATTTACTACTGTTGCAGGGTTTTATTTCCCCCTGACATGAATAACATTACAAAGCAAGATGGAGATCCCAAGCATGTTTTTGTCACAGTATGGTTAAGTCACATCTGTTGTTGAATATTCTTTTCACTTACTGAGTCCGCCGATCACTATTCCTAGGGAACCGATATTGGCAAAGCCACAGAGAGCATATGTGGCGATTATCTCAGAACGAATCTGTAAGCAAGCACAAACACATATGTGTACACCATCTGACCCAGCTTAATACATCCAACTGGGCTTCATCTTGACTGCAGAATCAATATTGACAAATAAATGCACAGTACATTGTGTCAAATACCCACTGCTTTTTAGACTCCTTTTATCATCTCCCTGAAAATTTTAAGAGAGAGCGGAAAGGGGATATATGGATTCGGAGACTCAACAAAGGGTTTGAGATTGGTAGCCTTGGCTTCTGCAAATGTAATTTCCTGCTCAATGATAACTTTTAATACTCCATATGACCCAACTACCTGCTATTATGTGCCAGGTACAGTACTATTAATAGTTGCTGGAGATACTAATTGGTCCCAGAAAATATTCACATTACATTTAATTGACAAAGGACTTATTCAGAATATCTGAAGAACTGTTATATCTTGATAATAAGAAGGCAAACACTCAAGGAAAAATGGATAAAGAGATTTAGATCCTTCAGAAAATATATGCAAATGGACAACAGACACATGAAAAGATATTCAGCATCATTAATCACCAGGGAAATGCAAATTAAAACCCCAATGAGTTACTACTATATATCCACTGAAATGGCTAAAATTTAAAAAGACCAGCAATAGTAAGTGTTGACAAGGACATAAAGGAACTAGACCTTTTATACGTTGCAGGTAGGAAACTGAAAGCCTGTTTGTAAAACAGTATGGCAGTTTTTTTTTATCAAGTTAACATGCATTGTCTGTATGACCCAGCAATTTTTCTAGAAGAAATAAAAACACATGCCCACAGAAAGATTGTGCATGAATAATAACAGCTTTATTCATAATAGCCTCTTGCTGGAAGCAAACCAAGTGTCCTTCAATAGGCAAATGGATAAACAAATTGTGGATATCCATAAAAAAGAATACTGCTTTGCAATAAAAAGGAAAATAATACATGCAACATGAATGCTGAGTCCATTTATATGAAGTTCTGGAAAATGCAAAAGTAATTTACAGCGCAAGGAAGATTATTGTTGCCTGGGACTAGATCTTTGGAGATGAGAAGGGGGCTGACTACAAATGGCCGTGAGGGAAATTTTTTAGATGTGATGGTAATGTTCTATGTCTTAATTGTAGTCATGATTACACAGGTGACACCAAAAATGGACCCTTTATTTGGTATATAAATTATAACTCGGGATATAATGCAAAGGTAATTAAGTTAGTAAAAAGGAAATTCTCTCCCAGTTCCATAGCAGCAAAGAGTAAAAAAAAAAATAAAAGAAAAGAAAAAGGAAATTCTCCAATATCACAGGGGCTTCCTACAGCCTGGCCATGGTGTGCGCCCGCCTTCTTCCTCCGTGGCCCGGCTCTGACCGCCCTGTGAGGGTGTCAGGATGCCTGCTTCGAAGTGGAAGAATGAACAGCCCTTTCAAAGGGCAGGGAGAAGATGGAAGGGGAATTTGTGAAAACATGCACACGGCCCTCTGGCTCAAGAGGGGCTGCTTAGGCCAGATAATTCTTTCTCGGTTGAGGGACTGACTGTAGAAGATGGGAAGATTCAGTCCACTCTGATGCTCGCTAAAGGCACACCCAATCTGGCAACGGGGTAATTGGCTCTATGAACCAGTGTCAATGACCCCTTTATGTTTTTTATAATCTCTCCCTCTCGTGATTTAGATTCTTGATGACCAGAACCCTGTAACTTTTAATTAACTACTTGATCTTTTGAGTTTTTCCCAGAAGCGGTGCAATTTCTACAAGACAAAGAAGTTGACATCACGAAGGCTCCGGAAGCCTCCTGATGCTGAGACTCACCCTCCTCACTCACCTGCACCAATGCAGGTAGCCCCTTGTTAATTTCAACACAATCTGCCCCAATGCATGTAGCCCCTCCTTAAAAGCCCCCACCCTCCGTTAGGGAGATGATTTGAGGCTGCTTCCTCCATTCTCCTGGATGATGTCATTAGCATTAAAAATTCCTTTCTGCCTTGGTAATCCTTGTTGTCTCAGTAATTGGCTTTCTGTATGGCAAATAACTAGACCTAGGTCAGACCCCTTTGGGGTTCAGTAACCAAGGTACCCATGCAATTGAGGCAATAATTTTCTTTTCCAATATCCTAAAAATTCTATGATTAGTTTCAAGGAACATACCAAGCAAATGCTACACACAAAAGTAGCAGCATCTTTTTTTTCTTTCACTAATGGGATTTTTGAAAGCTCACATTCAAGACTCAAGTGGTCACGGTAAGTTTTTTGTTGATTCTAAGGCCCCTCTTCTCTCTCATGGTTTCTGAGAACTCCTTTGTTGATGTTTTCAATCAGTGTGCATATAGCAGGCAGGAAAAAATGTCAAGTATTTGTGCAGTTCATCGTTCCGGGAAAAGCTGTCCTCTTCCCACACTTTCTAGTGCTTTTCATTTAGTTCAACTGGCTTCAAAAACAGGCATGCTAATTACAAGATTGCAGGAGAGAGGTGGCATAAAGGGCCTGAACTTCTCCTTTTCCCTTTCTGGGGCTCTGCAGTAAGGGAACATACAGATGTGGCCATGATTAATTTTATAAGAGAAGGGAAAGGAGGCAGGGATGATTCACTTTGCTTTTGCCCACAAATGTGCAAGAGTATATGACGGAAAAAGACGCAGTCCACTAGGAAAACAATAATAATGCACCCTACAGAGAGCTCTCCTTGCATAAAAGCAAAGATGCCTTAAGTGTACAGGCCTGGTCACTGTATAGCACTACCTTTAATTGTTAAACATTGGTAACAGTGTTCATCAGCAAGGGGCTGGTTAAGATGGATTACCATGTGCTATACAAGAGGGTGCTGTGTCACAGGCACTGATATGGAAAAGTATCTGAGACCTGTTACTATGTGCAAAGGGCAAGATGAAAAACAGTGCACATAATATGCTTCAGGGAGAAGAGCTGGGTGGAAGAAAAATAAGGAGGGTGACTTTTTCTTTTATGCCTTTTTGGACCTTTTGAATTCTATACCACTAGGTGTTTCCATACCACTATGCATTACATGCAAACAAATGAACAAGCAGGCAAGGTATTATCTTTAATAAAGAGAAGATGTGGGATAAAGGGCTCATTCTAGGTACATGGGTGCTATCTAGAATTCTGCCTCTTATTTTATTTAGATGGAAGTCGGTGTAGACCTAATTCAATGGATATCCCTGGAGTCTCATTCATGGACCCATATTGTGTGGCACTGTTTCCAGGGCACTGTTGGGACACCCTCCCCCATTTGTAGATTGGTAAGCAGAAATTTCTGGGACTCATCTGCATTTTGTTGGTTGGAAATCAGAAATTTAGAGAAACAAAATGCTTTTCCCATCATGACTCAACAATGGTAGAGGCCATTGAGCTCTTCCTTCCAAATGTCCTTTCTGTGCCTGCCTCAGTTGGGCTCACCCCCAAGCCCAAATCAGCTCCACTGTTCTGTCTCTACCCTCTTACTAACCTTCCCACAAAACTGCTTAGCACTGCCAGAATCAAGAGCTGGCTCTGCTCATTAACAAAACTATTCTCCCCGGGCAACTGGCAGTTGGGGATAGAAAACATTTCACTTAATTTAGCCTATTGTTTACTTTTGGTGGGGAAACAAACTGGTTTTGGTGGCATCTAAACAATGAGGATAATTGGCTGAGCTCCACTGTGAGGTTAGTTGAAGAATGAACATGTAAGAGAAGGGAAATCTACAGAGCCCAAGTTCGTATCAGATGTGTGGGTCAAAATGCCCCTGACTGTAAAGTACAAATCAAGCCTCCCTCTTCTGGAGCTGGCTGTTACATCTGTGTGCCTTGTGGGCGTGAATCTGCCTGTCCGGTCTCTGGGAGGTGGGGAGGGGTGGCGATGCTGTTCAGGGGTGAGCAGTCTCAGTACCTTGGGAAGCGTGCCATTTCTCCCCTTTCCTTTTAAAACCAACCACATGGCCGGGTGCAGTGGCACACGCCTGTAATCCTAGCACTCTGGGAGGCCGAGGCGGGCATCGCTCAAGGTCAGGAGTTAGAAACCAATCTGAGCAAGAGCGAGACCCCGTCTCTACTAAAGAAAGAGAGAAATTAATTGGCCAACTAAAAATATATAGAAAAAAAAATTAGCCGGGCATGGTGGTGCATGCCTGTAGTTCCAGCTACTTGGGAGGCTGAGGCAGAAGGATTGCTTGAGCCCAGGAATCTGAGGTTGCTGTAAGCTAGGCTGATGCCACAGCACTCTAGCCTGGGAAACACAGCGAGACTCTGTCTCAAAAAAAAAAAAAAAAAAATATGCCTGGGACATTAATAGCAAATGGGTTGTTTCAGTGAGTAATGGTGGTGGTCAGGAATGTTCACCATTTTCCTAAGAGTTTCCATGTTCTGTTCTTCAGGGAAAAAAGGTTGGAGACTCAACTGCAAACATGGCCTCCCTGAGTTCCTCCTCCCACCAAAACCCAGGCAGAGGTTGAGGCTCTCCTGGCAGGCTACTGACCTGAAGTGCTGATGTGGAGAAAAATCTAACCTGCCATTCTGCTTCTGTAAACTCCGCTCGCTCAACCCTACCCCCTCCCCTCGCTGGCGCCACTCTGTAACTCCCCAGCCGTTAGTCCTTGGAAATTACTGACCAAGATTAGAAGTTCCCGACATTAGCTAATGTGGTACATGTTTGTGCAAGGTCAAAGCCCATGAAACTTTCCCCCCACCCTGTGACCCCTAGCCACCTGCGTGTGGTTTCTGTCTATAAAAATCCTAAGGAAAAAAGGGCTGGTGCGACAGCTTCACCGTACGCCCCTGCGCGCGCTGGTAAATGAATCCACCTCATGCTATTGCATCAAGTCTCTGGACTCTGAGTTTTTTTTGAGTGGTCGTCTCTCCCCCACACGGGCTGTACATTTCTGCGGCCCAACACTGACATAAGTATGGGTGCTTGTCTCAAGGTTTTGGGATCATAGACTGTGAGCTTTTCTTTCCCTCACCCCCTTGGAGAGTAGTGATGGTGTCTTATTACCAGTTGAGGATGTCCAGGAACCATGTAGCGTTTGGGCAGTTCCTCAGAGCTCATAGAACGCCTTAAGCTGGGAGGAAGAGGCCGTTATGATCGCTGGACTCTCAGCCCTACGCAGGCAGGGGACCTGAGGCCTGTTTAGTGCTGTGGCCTGTGTACCCAACGCTGCACGTAGAAGGCATTCGATGAATATCTGTAGACTGATTCCTGTCCCAGCTCCTGTGACTCTGGGGCTGTTGTGCCCACAGTCCTCCAAAGTTATCACAGTGATAAGGATCGGCTGTGTTTCTCTCCACACACACACAATGATTAACTACAAGTCACGAGGTGCTACGTACATTACGAGCTCCATGAGAGGATGGATTTTTGGTTTGTTTTGTTCTGACATATCCCAGGAACCTGGCACAGTGCCCAACACACAGCAGCAGCACACGCAATCAACAAATACACGTATGTGATGCAGTGCACTGAGAAATCAAAATATTTACTCACCGACATGTATTGCTGCACACCATTCACAAATCTGGGTCCAGCCTCTTTCCTCAAATCGATCAATTTTGAGAGGTGCTCATACGCCACAAATTCATTGAAGAATGTCTTGTATCCTATGAGTTTGGCAACCATAAAGCTGTCCTGCCAGTCCACTCCCATCATGAAGGAGAAGGGCATGAAGATGTAGGAGCATATTAACTACAAAACACAAAATATTAACAGATTCTTGGTTAGATTAATGATTTGTTTCTAATTCTGCCTCATCCTCAGGAGTGTCTCTGCCCCGTTTGCCTCCTTTAGGCCCAGAAATCCCTTCACCTCCTCTTGCCCATCCTTATCCAGCGGGCTCAAGGCTGGAATTGGGTCATTTGAAGTAACCTGTTTTCGTGGGGACAGGGTCAGGGGAGAATGACTATCTGCTGGGGAAGGGAGGTGATAGAGGCAGAGAAAGGGGGAGGGGAAGATGGGGGACGGGTGAGAAGCTTCTACAATGTATGAGAGTCCACACTGCAGGTAGCCCAGGAAGGCTGCTCACAAATTATTATTATTATTTTTTAAACCAAAGATAGATGTAAAGAAAACAGAGGGGCACAACGTGGTAGCAGTATACCTCAAAACTTAGCTGCGGGTAGTCAAACATGTTTCCAAACCAGGACAGGGCTGAGTTCACAAAAGACAACAGGGCCAGGAAGGCAATCAGATTCACAGCGATGTTTGCCACCAGAGGGATGGACGAGGACGCTCCCTGTGTCGCAGCTTCTAGGAGATTCCTTGAATCACTTCGCCAAAAAAATAGTGATTCCAGAATTACCAAGGAGTTGTCAGAGCAAGCCTGTACATCCATCACCTCATTTAAGAACTGGAACATCTTGTCTCCGGCACTTGTGAATCCCCCTTGTGCTCCTCCCTGGTCTCCTCCCCTCTAACCTCAGAGGTGCCTCCCTAAAATACGTTTATCATTCTCTTTCTTTACAGTCTTCCTAAACGTCTGTATCCCTAAGTAATGTCTTATGTCAATCTCACATTTGCTAACTTCGTAAGTGGAATTCTTACGAATTATTTGGCAGCTGCTTTTTTAGTCATGGTTGACTCCATCTACATACAAGTTGTGAGTGAGTCTCAGACACATGGTTCATCAATTATGTTATTTAAATACTTCTGAACACCCTAAATCCTTTGGTCTTTTTTTTACCTCTTATTTCTTTCTTTTTCACAGAAAAGGGGGGCAAAAGAGGAACCTCCACAATTGGTCATCCTTTGGCTTTGCAACCCTCTCAAACCAAGGCTCAGCTAACGCTAAGCTATAATTACACTAAATTGCAGCTTTACAATGAACAGATAAGGAAATGTATACACATTCAGGTATTTAGAGAGGTTTTCCTCAACTGTTGAAACAAGAGTTTTTTTTGTTTTTTGTTTTTTTTGGTGAAGTTTAAATAGTCATAGTGAAATTACTACCATAATTCACTGGGCTCTCCGGTTATCACATTTTTGCTGTACTTGGGATTTGGACTTCCCCGTCCTCAACTTGTGTAGTCATTAATTAATGTGTCCCACTTACCCATTTTCCATTTTCATGGCATTCTTGAGGGTTATTTTAGGTTTTTCCGTCTCAGGCCAAAAGAGTTTGGCAGCCGCCAGCGACGCCGGCGCCGACATAACCGAGGCCGTCAGCAAGTGGGCGGACGGAATCTGCAATTTCAGAAGCGGCAAACCGAAGTAGGTTAGCTTTCCTCCTCGGTTCAGAGAAATGGCCCGAGAGACTTACAAGGGGAAAGATGGGGCAGGCGCCGACTGCGTGCCAGAAAGCAATATTTCTTTGGAGATTCGGAAGAGCAACTCTAGCTCCGTGAGCAAAGTCGCGGCATCCCCTAGAGAGCCGGAGGGACGAGGAAGGCATTTGTGTTAACTGACCACATCCTCGGGGAAGACTCACAAAACCAAAATCCGATCCTCGGTAAAAAGCCTGAAGACGATTCCTCAACCTCTCTGTTGTCCTATCGAACATTCCCATAGTCCCTAAAGCCCAAAGGTCACTCGAATTTAGACAGGGGAGGGAAAGGACTTAGGGTCCACGAGCAGGCATGGACAGACCCCTCTCTCCACCCTCCCTCGGCTCTCTTGATCGCCTTTGTCTTTACACAATATGCATGGATCTGGAGTCTTTCTAATCTAGGAACTGTTTCTATCTTCCTCATTGCAAGTCCCCTCTTTCCCCCTCTCACCCCTCTTACATTGTTTCTGGGTTCTCTTCCCAATGCTTTCAGAATTCCAGTATCAGTCCCTCTCTCCTCATTCCCATCCCGCCTAGCACACTATCCAAGGCAGCAGCCTGCAGTGGGGGCAGAGCGAGCTATCTGGGGGTCCACTCAAACTGCTTTGTTCTAGGTATCCTCCGCCCCTTTCTTCTTCCCTCTTCCTACTAATTGGCTCTCCAAGGCCTGGAGGAAGATCTGGAATGAAGGTCTCTTCTCTTGTAAGAAATCCTGGTCTCCTGACTCCCACAGTGTTGACTGTGTTATTGCACTTCTCCACTGGGCTTTGTATCCATGTGTGGCTTGTAAGCTCCATGTCTAGGGGCACATGCCCCAGTTGCCAGAACATTCTCCAGCCCTGCACCACAGACCAGCTCTCAATCTTGGCCGTACATTAGAATCTGACAAGTCTTAAAAAAAAAAATATTAATGTCTGGGTCTCATCTCAAGAAGTTCTGGTTTAATTACTCAGAGGTATGGGCCTGAGCATTAGAGAATTTGAAAGCTCCTAGGAAATTCTAACGTGCAGCTGTCTGAGAACTACTGCTCTAGACAAGGGGGTCAGAAAACTTGTCCTGTAAAGGGCCAGAGAGTAAATATATTTGGCTTTGAGGGCCAAAGCGCCTCAACTCTGTAGCATGAAAGCTGTCATAGACAAACGAATAGGAGTCGCTGGTTTCCAGTAAAACTTTACCTGCAAAAACAGGGCAATCTGAATTTGTATGATTACATTTTGCTATTTTTATTCTGTAAATATAGGTGGCAAATTTACACATTTAGGTGGCAGGATTTGAAGCCACAAGCTCCGAGGGGTCCCTGCATTCAAATGCTGAAGCAACAGTGACCAACTTTTGCCACACAGGAAAAAGGACACTCTCTCGACCTCCTCCTTCACCGTCAATGGGAAGAAGGTGTGGGGGTTGGAGGAAGAAATAACAATGGCGAAGAAAGCGAAGGGAAGAAAGAAAGGGAGGCTGAATTTTCCATGAGTTAATCCTAAAACCTTCTTACCCCAAAAGAGATGTATGCGCCTAAGACGCTTCCAGCGATTGTAGAGAAGCCGGCTGTCATGATGGCGTGGAGTTCGGACCTGGTGACATGTGGCAGATATGGTCGAACCAGCAGCGGAGACTCTGTCTGGAGACAAAGAAGGGTGACTAGATCAAACGTCCCTTTTTAAATTTTATGCCAGTCTACCCAAAATTTTATGCTCATGCTGGGTGTGGTGGCCCACGCCTGTAATGCCAGCACTTTGGGAGGCTGGGGCAGGAGGATCACTTGAGCCCAGGAGTCTGAGGTTACGGTGAGCTGTGATGATGCCACTGCACTTTAGCCTGAGTAGGGAGGGAGATGCCGTCTCAAAACATTTCTACTTTTTATTCTTCCGAGGCAGCGTTTCTAAGAGTGAACCTCAACCGCAGACCAGCCCTATCAGCATCACCTGGGAACTTGTTAGAAATGCAAATTCTCCATTGACTAAATTAGAAACCCTGCAGGTCCAGGGCCAGCAATCTTGTAGTGGAACAAGCCTTCCAGGTGATTCCGATGCATGCTCACGTTTGACAAGGCTGTACTATCGATGTCTGTGCCATTTGAACTCTAGGTCACCGTGCATCTACGGGCATGTGCAAATTTTGCAAAATTTTCGAGGCTAGTAATATAAGGCCACCCAGCCTAGGAGTGGACTCTATGATGACCCAGTACACTTTTCTAAGGGTTGGCCAAGGGACTGTGCACAGTGGCCTGGCCTTGTGGTCTGCTGATAACTAAGCCACTGTGACCTCGCATCTTCCAACTTCACCTTAACCCTATTTCCTGATACTTCAGGGAAATAGAGATACAAGTATTAAAAAAAAAAAAATACCAGCAATAACAAGGACAGGCCCTATTGTCATTAAAAAGCAGGGATGCTTCCCTAATGAGTGAACAGGAACCAAACAGAGGGTATTTATAAAGGCTGGCATCCTGCGAAGGAGTGCACGCGGCCTCCGTAAAAAAAATAGCTGTGCTTTCCGCGTATTAAGAGTCAAACTGTGTAGCACGGACGTTTGTACGCAATTTGCAATTTTCCCCTCGTTATTTCTAATTGTTCTGTAAGATTGAACGTATTGAGCCTCAATTTATACACTACTCAGGAACCCAGTGCAGGAGCCCTCTTAGCCTGCAGGTAGGAGCAATCAACTCACGATGGTGCTGTAATTATTCCCTAGAGGTTTTATGACTGTAATTATAATAATTTTAACTCCTGCGGAATAAGTATGTGTCCCCACTCTTAAGACTATGCTCGGGGCTAGCGAGCCGGGCTTAGCAACCAGATGGCTCAGCCTGCCTGGAGCAGTTGCGAGCCTGGGATTTGGGGCCATGTTTTTCTGGGTGACTTGATTTTTGTGCTTCAAATCCAATTTCCCTGGGCAGCGGTGGTGGCAAGCATTCACACTTGGTTTCCTGGGTGTGTGGTGCCATTCCGCCTGCAGCTGCATATCCCCAGAGATGAGTAGCTTATCACCATGTCTTTCTTATTTCCCCCTGTGCAATGCTGCTAGTTTGAGAGACAACCTGGGGCATCCCATTTCTTTACTTAAGTGAACTTTGGGCTAATGAGTCTTTATCCATGTGGTGGATCAGGAAGGCGAAAATTGTAGCCTAAAATCTAATCTTCGATGAGAAAGAAAAAGCTAAAAGCATTTTCCCTCAGGCTCAGCAAGGACAGGCTGTTGGCCAGTCCAGACAAGCTGAAAATGAGCCCAGCCCAAGTATTTGCACAGCTGCTTGGCGGGAAGCCCCTCTCCGTCGCCTTCCCTGCCACAGGCGTGATAGTGCCGGCTGGGAGGCTGCCTGTTACACGTTTGCAGCTTCGAGATAGCGAAGTCCATTCAAGCGGAAGAGTGACTAGCCTCTGAAGAGCTGCCCAGAGAGAGACGTCAACACTCACTAAACGCAGCAAAGATTTGTTAAGAATCTATATATGAGAAGCCCTGTGCTTTAAGCAAATGACACAACCCTCGTTACTCTTCATGAACTTTCAAGAACCCAATTCCGCAGCGGCGTACCCAGACTCTTGGATGGGATTTCTCCCCACCCCACATCTACTCTAAAAGAAATAACAGGCCGGGCGTGGTGGCTCACGCCTGTAATCCTAGCACTTTGGGAGGCCGAGGCGGGTGGATTGCTCAAGGTCAGGAGTTCAAAACCAGCCTGAGCGAGACCCCGTCTCTACCAAAAATAGAAATAAATTAATTGACCAACTAAAAATATATATACAAAAAAAAAAATTAGCCAGGCATGGTGGCACATGCCTGTAGTCCCAGCTACTCGGGAGGCTGAGGCAGTAGGATCGCTGAGTCCCGGAGATTGAGGTTGCTGTGAGCCAGGCTGACGCCACGGCACTCACTCTAGCCTGGGCAACAAAGTGAGACTCTGTCTCAAAAAAAAAAAAAAAAAAAAAAAAAAAAGAAAAATTTTCTTAGGGGCCTTTTTTTTTTTTTTGGAAAGAGACTATCCATGTCAGAAGATGTTTTATCGTGTGTTTTGATGTTACAACTTACTTGTCCAACAAACACATTGCCAGCAGCAACTACAGATTCAATAGGAGATGACCCCATGGTAACTAGCATTGACCATCCAATCTAAAAGGAAAAAAAGGACAAAGTCAGCGAGCAACTCTTCATATACACAAAGCTTCAAAGTAGGGATAAGAATCTTTACATTGGAGTCGAAACGCTGAGGTCTTCCAAGCCCTGTTGGCAGCCTGAAGGTGGTGCCCAGAGCACGGGCCCATAGAGTAGGCGATCAGATCCTGTTTCCGTGGCAAGTCTGAGTCACTGGGTATACTTTGAACACTATACAAATGACAGTGGCACCCACCTGAGGATGGGAGACTTCCTGCTACATTCTGTCTCTCTTTTTGGCTTAGACATGAGTGCAGTATTCTGAATGTTTAAACCTACAATCAGAAAATTATGGGCCCTGGAGCTCTTGCTGTAATGCTGGTTTCTGCTGGTACCTACACTCTGGTTCTCTTTCTCCTTCTGTGTGTACATTTTGACTTATTTACAGAGATCAAAGGAGGGGTGTGGCTGTACTCCAAGCACTGTGTGCACTACTCCTCCATCTTGTGCGTCCCAACTAGCTTAAGAATCTCCTCATTTTCTGATCTAACACATGAGTTCAGGACTCACAATGGCTGGGCCAGTAGTACCTCTTCAGCTTTTTTTCTTTTTTTTTTTTTTAATGTGTGTATTATAAAGCTCCCTTAGAAGCAAAAAGCAGCTTGTCCTTCTTGCTTTGATTTCTCTAGCAAGTCCAGGACCTGAAGCGTCTACTCCTATAACATCCTGAAGATAAGCAGGGCTTTTGTGTCAGGCACAAGGCACAGGTAACCAAGCTGAAGGAGCAACACTGTTTTCCCCAGGCGGGTATCTGACCTCAGTTCCTTGGCTAAAGACGTAGCTGCTGTGCTATCACGAAGATATATAATGGATCACGAATCAAAGCCCTGTTAGAAGTTTCCAAGATAAAATTTTGGTGTCTGAATCTAATAACTTGGGTGGTGGTGGTGGTGGTGGTAGGTCGGTCATAGTAGGAAGAGAAAGGCACTTTGGAAACACCCAGGTAGAAGGCTTTGAGGACTTCATGCCTGAGACGATCAGCTCTACCCCTGCCACCCAGTCCCTCCCCGTCCCAGTACCTTTCTAATAATCCACTGCATCAGCCCGAGGTAGTACAGCATGGACATCACGGTGCTGAAGAAAACCACGATTGGCAAGACCTGGGGGGACAGAGGCAGCCATGGGTTAGTGTTGGGCCCAGTTGCATCGCAGGTTTCATGTGAGGTTTCCTCTCTGCCCCCTTTTCTCCTGCAGAAACGTCATGAAAATATTAGAAACTCTTCTTGAACTAAGATCACCAAGATGAACTTTTCTCACTCAAAGAAGGAATGAAGTTTTGTGGAGGATTTATCCTAACTAGATCATCAAACTTAAGGCCACTAGCAAATATTCTTATTGTCCTGACATTAAAAAAATACGAGCTTCACCATTAACTAGCAGAGTGGGTCAAGATGAATTGTGAGCAACTTTAAATTTTATACTGGGGTGCTATAGAGACCCCAGAAAGCACGGTGGCTGCTTCCACACAGTATTTCCTATGGAGTAAACATTCATCCCTGTAGATTTAAAAATTAATGATTATTTTATCTATTGATTTTATGAATCACTAAAAAAGTGACTACATTTTGGAAACTAGTTTAGTTCTGTGTTAAAGAAAGTGTATTTTTGGCCGGGTGTGGTGGCTCTCGCCTGTAATCCTAGCACTCTGAGAGGCCGAGGCGGGTGGATCGCTCAAGGTCGGGAGTTCAAAACCAGCCTGAGCAAGAGCGAGAACCCGCCTCTACTAAAAATAGAAAGAATTTAATTGCTCAGCTAAAAAAATATATAGAAAAAATTAGTTGGGCATGGTGGTGCATGCCTGTTGTCCCAGCTACTTGAGAGGCTGAGGCAAGAGGATCCCTTGAGCCCAGGAGTTTGAGGTTGCTGTGAGCTAGGTTGATGCCACGGCACCCACTTTAGCCTGGGCAACACAGTGAGACTCTGACTCAAAAAAATAAAAATATAAAAGAAAGTGTATTTTCTTAGATCCTATTTTCCTATGCTCTTTGGGTGCCTTCAGAGCAGCCTGTGTTCCCACACGGAGTGGTTTCTACCCTGCATCGGCCACACAGAGCCGTGGGCTGGGCCACTCCTCAGCTCCACCCTACCTCACCCCTCCAGCGCTGTGCCCCAGCTGAATGGCCAGAGACAAGCTGCGACCAGAAGTACAGAATGACCGGGGACAATCTGTACAGGATCTAATTTAGAAAAACCTATTAATAATACATATTAAAAGACATTTTGTGCTAGCATTCAGAGCTCGCTCACTATGAGGCTTTTATTGGCCATAATGGGTAGCAAGCACCTGCCTAAAAGCTTGAGGAAGTTACAGGGGCTGTCTCTGTAATGTTCCCGCAGGGATTCTGCACCGGAGGGAAGAATGGAGGCCACTGCCCTGGAAGGGGGAGGGAGGTCTGAAGACACCTACATTGTGGCAAGTGGCAAGTTGTTTTCTTTATGACTTTACTTTTTTCCAATTCTGAATTCAATTCGTGATATAAGCATATTTCTGCCTCACGCTGTGAACACTTGATCTTTCAGAGACGGCTCAGTTATCTTAGCCTTAAAGCCAAATCAGCAGTTTGACAAAAAGATTCAACATAAAAGTTAGCCTAACTGAAACCAGGGAAATTTGGAGGGAAATTTGGAGTCTCTAGGTGAGAAAATAATTTAGAAGTGTATGAGCACCAACACACCACAAAAAAGAAAGCCGGAGAGGAACCCAAATGCATCTTTCTGACTCATTGACAAGTGTTGGTAGGGACTTCACACAGGGCACGTGAAGGTCCCAACTGTGCCCAGTCACGGGGCCAGGTTGCCTTCCCCCTGTAAAATAACATGCCTCCTTTGCTCAGGAGAAGGCCCAGAGCAGGCCAAGGCTGTGCTGAAGGGGCGATGGGAAAGGTTTGGCTCGGAGACGGCTTTGGAAGAACAGAGGTTGATGTGGTTGACCAGCTGTGTCTGGGACCGAAAGGCTTTCCCACTGCAGAGCTGTCACTGACCCTGGACCCGTCAGCCACTGCTGGCAACATGCCTACCATGGTCAGGAACATAATGTTCTTTCCCTCGAAGTCCCAGATACTGATACTCCATATGATTTTTCTCATAGGTATCTCAGTAAATGCTACAAGCCCACCCACCCCTAAATTTGAATATTTGTGACTTCCTCTAGATATCTCCTTTAACACTACACTAACAAAGTACAATGTGTGCACTTCACTGACTTCAGATAACACTGTAAACGAAAAAAGAGCCTCGATGTGTTGCGTACCATTGACAAGTTATGTACCTCGCTTTGGTCAGTTAAGTTCTATCTGAACATCTACAAAGACTGAGAAGTAACGGGGCTTGGCTTTACCTTAAATGCAAAGAAGTGGTCTTTGTATTTCTCACCAAAGACAAATGAAGCACCAGCATCAGTGTACTCCAGAAAAGTCTGAGTTAAAGAAGAAAAAGAAAGACTGTTACAACCACTCAAGAGTCCACAGTAACACAACCAGGACTCTGCAGAGAATGGAAACCCAGCAAACTTATTGGATAGACTGGGAAAGTTCACGTTCTCAGCTTTGCCCCCTCCAATGAATGGCATAGGATTGTATTTTTGAGTTACACCTGCATTTCTGACATTCAGTCTGACTCCAGGAAGCTAAAGAATGAACCAAATGTGGTCCAGCAAACCACAGATGGCACATGAGTGGTGCAGGTTACCACTGGGTCCGAGGGAAGCCTGTTTCTCTGTCTTTGGAACCATCTTAGAAGTGCAATGCCGTTTGGGCAGGGTGGAGGGACAAGGGAGTGACAGAGTGGGTGATATAGGTGGGGGAGGAAGTAGTAATAATAATAAACTATACAGATTAACATGCTTAACATAAACAAAATGATTTGTTTAACCTACGCTACAGGATTAAAATTTGGGTGAACTAACGCAGACAAACCTATTTCTAACACATCTTGAGGATTACATCCAAAAGTTCAATGCACCATGTAAAAGCAAGGTGTTCTTTTGAACCAAACTTACCTGAACTTGTTTGCCCAACCAATTGAAAGCTATAAATCCAGGGTCAGTCCTTAGAATCAAGAGTCCAAGAAGAAACTGTAACCCAATTCCCCAAAAGACAGGTCTCCAGTAAACCTATGCAGAAAGATCAAGAGGTATACCTTAGTAGAAAATTAATGCTAACTTTGGCATGTGTCTGAAGGATCACTATTTCTTTGGAAGCATTCTCAGATATGGCCTGTGACCCATCTTCTTTGGGATGGCCAAAGCAGTCATGCGTGTGGACTCCCTTGATAGGATCATATCTTTCAAAACTCAGGATTGTGTTCCCTCTTCCTAAACCTGAATTTGTAGCCGTCACTCCCAGAAAGGTAGGTAGCTATTAAGTCCTGCTAAATAACTTAGACATGAACAGTAGTCTAAGAAGGGCCACTAAAGGAGAGGATCTGGCTGTCCTAGTCATGTTGCAAATATTGGACACATATAATTATTTCCCATCTGGAAAATGGAAAGGCAGAACATGATTTCTCTGTGTGTCCAAGGTTTGTTGATCTGACAATTTCTAAGTAAGTAATTTTCTGCCCTGTCAAGGGGCTCTTGTTTCACTGTGAAAAGGACCAAGAAACTCTAATGCAGACCCAGGGCATAGCGGGAAGGGACACTCATCTGCTTCCAATTTTGATGCAGGGCTGAGTGGTCTGAAAAGAGCCATGTGATTAAGCACAGACAACAGAGATGTTTACCCAAGCAGGGCAAAGGATTTGGGTCATATTAGGTGAACTTGGTCTCTCATTTATGCTCTTTTCTTGGGTCAGTCTTTTAACTGGTAAAGTCTTCCAGAGTTTGCCACTGTGAGTTACACGCAAGAGCCTCGGTGTATCAGAATTCTTGTCCAGTTCATGAGTTACCGGCTGACAGAGCAAGGATGAAAATCGGGTTTGGGGGGCTGGGGGAGGAGACCTGTATAAGGACAAATTTTCAGAACAAAAAAGCCCAAATTGCAAGTGGTACATTGATAAACTGTAGGATGCAATGGCAGAATATTAGATTACTTACTGGTCTGGGGAAATCTGGGTCAAAATAGATGAGTTTTCCCTTTATGTGTGGTTGATGGGGTGGGGGTGGGGTCCATGAATAGAAATCGGACTTGACAGGGAGAGAATGTCTCCCTGGTTGTGCAACCAGAAAATCACTGAGGGTGAAATAGGAAATAGTAACAGACAGGACAATGAGAGCTCAAGAAGTAGAGCACCCTGGCCACTCCAAATAATCACAGCAAGGTAAGAAAAATATTGAAAAATCATTAAATTCTCTCACAATCAGTATTTTGAGTAATTCACATATGAGGGGAAAAAAATCCAAAAGGTCAATTTCATACTTACTCTGGTTGGGTGCTTAGAAAACAGAAATAACAGGGTGATGTACATTATGAGCCCACCGAAGGACACCAGGTGCTGTCGGCCCATCCTGGCAGTGTCCAAGACCAGCCAGAAAATAACCCCCAGGCTCAGGCAGCTCCAAATCACCCTAAGACAACAGGAAGGGAAGCACTGGCATCATTGGTTATGCTAACACGAGAACTGTAATCAGGCTTAAAGAAAGAACAAAAAAAAAAAAAAACGTGAGTGAGAGTAACACACCCCAGTGCCAGGAAGCTGTGCTTTTGCGAATTGCAACAGACCCTTTTCGGTTCTGGCTATATGGCAAATAGCCAAAAAAAATTAAGTAATGTGTCCCTCTCACCCTACAACTCTTGGGCCCTTTGCCTGTTCAAGGATATATAAAGGGGTCAGAGAGGAGAAAGAGGAGAGAGAGAGAGAGTCCAGTGATGTCTTTGAGAGAGGTATTGGAATTTGTCGCCTCTTGTTTTTTTTTTTTTTTTTGAGACAGAGTCTCACTTTGTTGCCCAGGCTAGAGTGAGTGCCGTGGCGTCAGCCTAGCTCACAGCAACCTCAAACTCCCGGGCTCAAGCAATTCCACTGCCTCAGTCTCCCGAGTAGCTGGGACTACAGGCATGTGCCACCATGCCCAGCTAATTTTTTGTATATATGTTTTTAGTTGGTCAATTAATTTATTTCTATTTTTGGTAGAGACAAGGTCTCACTCAGGCTGGTTTCGAACTCCTGACCTTGAGCAATCCGCCCGCCTCGGCCTCCCAAAATGCTAGGATTACAGGCGTGAGCCACCGCGCCCAGCCGGTCGCCTCTTGTTTTGAGAGGTGGGTGAAGTGTTACCTTCTTCCCTCGAAGGGGGAGCTTGAAATGTGTTCCCTGCAGTTGGGGGACCTCACCAGAGCCACAGAGAGCTGACTCTGACTTTAGCCGGGTTCGGACTCCCCTGGGGAGTCTAGCGGGCGCGACAAGGCTGACTCACTGCTCGCATGGCAGAGCCAGAAAGGCTGCTGTGTGGGGATGACACAACCCCAGTTTATTAGGCCAAGGATGTGGGACATTTCCTGCTAGATCCCACGTGAGCCTCACTGGAGAGAGGCTGGTCCTGGATCCTACCCAGGAGGGCCGCCTGGAGGGAGGGGAAGTCCCACAGAGAGAGGCCAAGGGAAGGCCCTGAGCACTCAGGGCAGGACACGCACAGGCCCTTCCTCCCAGGGGGGCCGGCTTCCCACCCGGAGCAGGAGGCCGCCTCACTCTGTGAGAACTGTCCCAGCCCTGATCTCTCTCCTGGCTTTGAGACTGGCAGAGGGGCAGGTGACAAAGGGGAAATGCAGGCCCAAGCTGGGGGGGAACAATGGGACTCTTGGTCAAGTTCACAGTTTCCATTATTGTATGGGAATGCACATCCTGATACTCAAAATGTGCCTGTGACCATGGGACTATTAACCAAGAGTGTGCACAAGAGTTGTGGGCTTTTGACATTTTTATACAAAGTACCAGGTAGATAGCTCCCGCTGAATCAAATTGAAAGGATGATGGATGAGAAAAACTGAGTTGTATTTTAATCACATTCCACGGGTCACAATTTCAAAATACTGGTTGGTTACACAAAAAGTCAAGTGCTAGTTAGTGATGTACATATATATATACACACATATATATATATATTTTTTTTCTTGAGGCAGAGTCTCAAAAACTTTTTATTTTTTCATTTTTTTGAGACAGAGTCTCTCTCTGTCGTCTGGGCTAGAGTGCAGGGGTGTCATCAACCTCAAACTCCTGAGGCCCAAGCGATTCTCCTGCCTCAGCCTTCTAAGTAGTTAGGACAACAGGCACATACCACCACGCCCAGCCAAAACCGTAAGTTTTTAATGAGCAAAAAGCATGGGGGGAAATTAGGAGAAAAGAAAAAGAAAAGAAAGCCTGAAAAATTATTTGGCTTCACTAGTCAGCAAAGAATTGCAATGAATGAGATAGTAGTTGACTTACATCAATCAGAAACAGATATAAAGATTTATATTCATCATGACATTTAAAATAGCAAAAATTTTGTAAGTATGATACATGGTCAACCATACAGGAATACAAGTTAAAAACCCAAATTCGAGATTGAATATGTTCTCCATGATCTCCATTTTGAAAACATATTGTAAAGAGACTATGTGTGGACTTGTATAAGAAGAGAAAAGCTGCAAAAAATGAAAGCTTGTTGCAGACGTGTTGTCAGCAATCTCCAGCACTTTGTACTTATAGACCAATTCGTTATAAATAGATGACATTCGTGCTGCTGTCCCCCATCTCGTGCCAGGACAGATATTAGCGATCTATCACGAAGCCCTTCCACTGACAGGTTAGAGGGAGGGCTAAAGCCACCCCTGCAATGACTAAACTCCCCCCACTACTGTGCATTCCTGACTGATGCTTGATACGTGGCCATGTAATTGCCTTTCTAGTACAGCACAAGGAAAGTTATTAGGTTAACATCCTTTGGACAACATTTATCATTTAATGACACCTGAAAATTAAGGCAGTTTGCAGGGACATTTGGACACATCTCAAATGAGTCATCACCTCATCTACACCTTGATTTCCTATTTGTAAAATGAAGACATCATAACAGGTCACTCTCTACGTTGTTTCTAGCTTCAGTGCCTCGTAAATGAGGAAGCGATTTCAGAACAAATTCTTGGAACCATGGTAGAAAAGAACAACACCCCTTCCAACTGCAATAACAGAACCGATTGCATTTACCACTTCAGCCAGAACCAATGGCCGTTCAGAAGCCTTCTGCCGGGAGACAGGATCTCGTCAACTCGATGTTCATATCTAGCCATCAGGCGATCCCAGACAACGAAGAAGATGGCAGTCACGGTGATCACAAACAGAGGAAGGGCTCTGTGAAAGTTCAGCACACAGGCTGCGATCACCAGAGCCAGATAACCTGTCCAGAAAGCAAATGCAGATGTTAAGCGTCAACACTAGCCGGATGCCAGCCTCGGCCTGGACCGGCTCAGGCAAGGGGAGGTTTAATGGAGGGACCACTGAAGGCAGGAGCACTCTTGATTTGGCTACAGGCTTCTCCAATGGGCATTTTTGATGTTTTTCAAACCAAATCCCTAAGATTCTCACCATGAAGGCTAGGAGGACAGGGTGCTAGGTCCTTTTTCTTATAGGATCTTCTGAGTTCCTGGATCTAGAGGCGTGATCACTGGGCCTCGCAACTTAGAACTAACCAATTCTCCCCCTGGCGTTCAGACTCAGCAGGGCAGCTACTATCAGAGACAGGCCATGTGTTGAAGCGACCACTAGTGTACAGGTATTGATTCCCCAGGTTTGCACCCCACATTTGGCCTAACCTTGAGTAGGAAAATAGACTTACCAACAATAGACCACGTCTCTAAGTGCCACAGAATGTCAAGGACAAGGGGCTATCAAGGTGGCTGCTTTTGAAGAGCAGATGTGAGGATAAGAATAAGGTTTCCTACTCTTACAGGTCAGCAAAGACGGTCTGCAGGTCAAATCGATTTGGCTTGCCACATGTTTCTGTAGGTGGCAAGTGCAATTGTATTTGTATATTTGCATTCTACAAATATAGTGAGGGAACACAGCCGTGTCCGTCTGCTTATGGCTGTTTTTCACTATAATGACAGAGTGATGTGGTTTTGACCTTCTGCCTACCATACTGAAAATCCTAGAATACCCTCTGGCCTGGTAGAGAGAAAGTTTGCCAACCCTGCTGTTTCCTGCTGCAGCAGTCTGAGCACCAGCAAACCCACTGGCCTCAGTGGTGCAGCGGTCTGGGACAATGTCTGTGGGAGAGGGTGGCAATGCTCATATTTTACAGACAGGAGTGCTCTTTAAGACGGCCTGAGGAGCACTTTGCTTTGGAGAGTGAAAACAGAAGATATCCTGTCTTGCTTTCAGGCAAGAGGAGTGGGCTGGAGGGCCCTGGGCTCCTCAGGTTGCATTCACACAAAGCGTTAATTGCTTGCATTAACCGCTGCACCCCCCCCCCAAAATCCACGTGATGCTAATGAAAGCCATATGAGCCCTTGAGAGAGGTGACTCAAAAAATTAGCTGCTGGCCTCATAAACAATTTGCACAGGTTTCTTCTGCGGAGACTCAAGACACAGGGGCTAATAGATTTCCCTTGCCGCCTCTCTGTGTGACTCAGTGAGGTCCAGGAGAAGGTTTATTCTCTCTCCGGTCAACCTTTGAGGGATTTCCCCCAAAAAGAGACAGTGGTACCCCACCCCCTTTGTTAATTACCTGCTAACAAAATGCCCCAGATGATGTACCGAAGAATGGTTTTGTGTTTCCTACAAAAATCGCAAACTGTATTGTACTTCCTTTCCAAACACCTGTAACACAAAAGCAAAAAGGCAGCCACAAGTAAATACCAAAAACATGAAATAAACTGGCATGATGAGGCGGGAGTAGGCTTTGTAAAACAGGCAAGCAAGCAAATTCGTGAAGCATGTGTCTCACAAAACAGAAATGGTAAACTCATTTCATCTTAGACTAAAATCAGCCGTGACTTGGATCAACCCTCACTGAATCAGTGTGCCAAGCCCCGAGAGATTAGGGAGATACAGAAAACAGGCTCCCAGGAAGGCAGCAGGGGGCATGGATCACCAAGCAAAAGCCGAAGCAAATCATAGGAGAGCGTGTCTCGTTACACTATGAAAGCCTCTGTTAGCTTTAATTAATGCTTATTAAATGTTTACTGTTAAAAAAAAAAATAAATAAAAAGCCAAAGAACTGTCATCCCTTCTGGTTCCCCGAAGTTTGAGCGCGCTGGAGGTTCCCTGTCTTAGATCGTCATTCCCTTTAGTTCAAGACTGGCAGGCTTCGCTAGGTGTGTATTAAATGCAAAGCAGGATTTTGTGGATTTAAGGGCTGTAAACAAACGGGTTGTCACAGCTTTCTCAGAAAGTTCTAGAGTTGGTGGAATGTCAGTTTCTGTCCAGGGCTTTTTCTTTTTTTGGAGACAGAGTCTCACTCTGTCGTTCCAGCCATAGAGTGCAGTGGTGTCATTCTAGCTCATGGTAACTTCAAACTCCTGGGCTCAAGCAATCACTGCAGACATGCCCTGCAATGTCCAGCTAATTTTTCTATTTTTAGTAGAGATGGGGTTTGCTCTTGCTCAGGCTGGTCTAGAGCTCCTGAGCTCAAGTGATCATCCTGCCTTGGTCTCCCAGAGTGCTAGTATTACAGGTAGGAGCCGCCCTGCCCGGCCCTGTACAGGGCTTTGATACAGGTAGGGAGGCAGTGCACGAGCAATGTGTATGTCTCATCACGTCCCCTGGGGAGGATGGTGTCCAGTGGTCCCTCGGGAGTGTGTCTGGAGAGGCCACGGGGCCATAGCCACAGTGGCTCTCCTCTCCTTCTCCGAGGATCTCCTTGTCCACAGGGAAGCCCCTTTCCTTGGAAGCCCCCTGTTCTCCCTCTTGAGGTGGGGTGGGAGGACTTCACCTGCACATTTGACCATTGCCACTTCCAGGCCACTGCATAGCATTTCTAAAATGACCATTTCTTGCCCCGTATAGATTCCCAGTCTCCAGGACCTCAAAGGACTTGGCTCCTATCTGGGAGACCTGCTCTTCCTTTGGTTAATGACTCCATTTCCAACAGTCCTGCCTGTGTGTCCAGGACTCAGCCCCCTCTCAGGCTTCAGGGCACAGCTCACGTCCTTCTAGAAAGTTTTCTTGCATCTTTTCAGACAGACACGTTCCTCTGCTCTTTATTCTTACTGTCGTCTTTGATTGTGACTTGTCATAAACCCATTACTGATGGCAATGTCCTGAGGAGTAGATGTGTGTGAGCCACAGCAGCACCAGGAGCAGGGCCTTGGGTATTAAGGTGCTCGATGGCACTCACTGATTTTGTACATAAGCTAAATGGGAGTGCATACTGCTTATCTGAACAGCATTTTACAGCTGTGCCTTGGGGCACATTAGTGAGTCCACATATGATATCTACCATTAAAAAAGACAGAAGCAGCCGGGCGCGGTGGCTCACGCCTGTAATCCCAGCACTCTGCGAGGCCAAGGCTGGCGGATTGCTGGAGGTCAGGAGTTCCAAACCAGCCTGAGCAAGAACGAGACCCCGTCTCTACTATAAAGAGAAAGAAATTAATTGGCCAACTAATACATATAGAAAAAATTAGCTGGGCATGGTGATACATGCCTGTAGTGCTAGCTACTCGGGAGGCTGAGGCAGTAGGATCGCGGGAGCCTAGGAGTTTGAGGTTGCTGTGAATGGGGGACCCCCCCATTCTCTGAAGGCAGGAGCACTCTTGATTTGGCTACAGGCTTCTCCAATGGGCATTTTTGATGTTTTTCAAACCAAATCCCTAAGATTCTCACCATGAAGGCTAGGAGGACAGGGTGCTAGGTCCTTTTTCTTATAGGATCTTCTGAGTTCTTGGATCTAGAGGCCTGATCACTGGGCCTCGCAACTTAGAACTAACCAATTTTCCCCCTGGCGTTCGGACTCGGCAGGGCAGCTACTATCAGAGACAGGCCATGTGTTGAAGCGACCACTAGTGTACAGGTATTGATTCCCCAGGTTTGCACCCCACATTTGGCCTAACCTTGAGTAGGAAAATAGACTTACCAACAATAGACCACGTCTCTAAGTGCCACAGAATGTCAAGGACAAGGGGCTATCAAGGTGGCTGCTTTTGAAGAGCAGATGTGAGGATAAGAATAAGGTTTCCTACTCTTACAGGTCAGCAAAGACGGTCTGCAGGTTAAATCCATTTGGCTTGCCACACGTTTCTGTAGGTGGCAAGTGCAATTGTATTTGTATATTTGCATTCTACAAATATGATGAGGGAACACAGCCGTGTCCGTCTGCTTATGGCTGTTTTTTACTATAATGACAGAGTGATGTGGTTTTGACCTTCTGCCTACCATACTGAAAATCCTAGAATACCCTCTGGCCTGGTAGAGAGAAAGTTTGCCAACCCTGCTGTTTCCTGCTGCAGCAGTCTGAGCACCAGCAAACCCACTGGCCTCAGTGGTGCAGCGGTCTGGGACAATGTCTGTGGGAGAGGGTGGTAATGCTCATATTTTACAGACAGGAGTGCTCTTTAAGACGGCCTGAGGAGCACTTTGCTTTGGAGAGTGAAAACAGAAGATATCCTGTCTTGCTTTCAGGCAAGAGGAGTGGGCTGGAGGGCCCTGGGCTCCTCAGGTTGCATTCACACAAAGCGTTAATTGCTTGCATTAACCGCTGCACCCCCCCCCAAAATCCACGTGATGCTAATGAAAGCCATATGAGCCCTTGAGAGAGGTGACTCAAAAAATTAGCTGCTGGCCTCATAAACAATTTGCACAGGTTTCTTCTGCGGAGACTCAAGACACAGGGGCTAATAGATTTCCCTTGCCGCCTCTCTGTGTGACTCAGTGAGGTCCAGGAGAAGGTTTATTCTCTCTCCAGTCAACCTTTGAGGGATTCCCCCCAAAAAAAAAAAGGGGAACCCCACCCCCTTTGTTAATTACCTGCTAACAAAATGCCCCAGATGATGTACCGAAGAATGGTTTTGTGTTTCCTACAAAAATCGCAAACTGTATTGTACTTCCTTTCCAAACACCTGTAACACAAAAGCAAAAAGGCAGCCACAAGTAAATACCAAAAACATGAAATAAACTGGCATGATGAGGCGGGAGTAGGCTTTGTAAAACAGGCAAGCAAGCAAATTCGTGAAGCATGTGTCTCACAAAACAGAAATGGTAAACTCATTTCATCTTAGACTAAAATCAGCCGTGACTTGGATCAACCCTCACTGAATCAGTGTGCCAAGCCCCGAGAGATTAGGGAGATACAGAAAACAGGCTCCCAGGAAGGCAGCAGGGGGCATGGATCACCAAGCAAAAGCCGAAGCAAATCATAGGAGAGCGTGTCTCGTTACACTATGAAAGCCTCTGTTAGCTTTAATTAATGCTTATTAAATGTTTACTGTTAAAAAAAATAAAAAATAAAAAGCCAAAGAACTGTCATCCCTTCTGGTTCCCCGAAGTTTGAGCGCGCTGGAGGTTCCCTGTCTTAGATCGTCATTCCCTTTAGTTCAAGACTGGCAGGCTTCGCTAGGTGTGTATTGAATGCAAAGCAGGATTTTGTGGATTTAAGGGCTGTTAACAAACAGGTTGTCACAGCTTTCTCAGAAAGTTCTAGAGTTGGTGGAATGTCAGTTTCTGACCAGGGCTTTTTCTTTTTTTGGAGACAGAGTCTCACTCTGTCGTTCCAGCCATAGAGTGCAGTGGTGTCATTCTAGCTCATGGTAACTTCAAACTCCTGGGCTCAAGCAATCACTGCAGACATGCCCTGCAATGCCCAGCTAATTTTTCTATTTTTAGTAGAGATGGGGTTTGCTCTTTCTCAGGCTGGTCTAGAGCTCCTGAGCTCAAGTGATCATCCTGCCTTGGTCTCCCAGAGTGCTAGTATTACAGGTGGGAGCCGCCCTGCCCGGCCCTGTACAGGGCTTTGATACAGGTAGGGAGGCAGTGCACGAGCAATGTGTATGTCTCATCATGTCTTCTGGGGAGGATGGTGTCCAGTGGTCCCTCGGGAGTGTGTCTGGAGAGGCCACGGGGCCATAGCCACAGTGGGTCTCCTCTCCTTCTCCGAGGATCTCCTTGTCCACAGGGAAGCCTCTTTCCTTGGAAGCCTCCTGTTCTCCCTCTTGAGGTGGGGTGGGAGGACTTCACCTGCACATTTGACCATTGCCACTTCCAGGCCACTGCATAGCATTTCTAAAATGACCATTTCTTGCCCCGTATAGATTCCCGGTCTCCAGGACCTCAAAGGACTTGGCTCCTATCTGGGAGACCTGCTCTCCCTTTGGTTAATGACTCCATTTCCAACAGTCCTGCCTGTGTGTCCAGGACTCAGCCCCCTCTCAGGCTTCAGGGCACAGCTCAAGTCCTTCTAGAAAGCTTTCTTGCATCTTTTCAGACAGACACGTTCCTCTGCTCTTTATTCTTACTGTCGTCTTGGATTGTGACTTGTCATAAACCCATTACTGATGGTAATATCCTGAAGAGTAGATGTGTGTGAGCCACAGCAGCACCAGGAGCAGGGCCTTGGGTATTAAGGTGCTCGATGGCACTCACTGATTTTGTACATAAGCTAAATGGGAGTGCATACTGCTTATCTGAACAGCACTTTACAGCTGTGCCTTGGGGCACATTAGTGAGTCCACATATGATATCTACCATTAAAAAAGACAGAAGCAGCCGGGTGCGGTGGCTCACGCCTGTAATCCTAGCACTCTGGGAGGCCAAGGCTGGCGGATTGCTGGAGGTCAGGAGTTCCAAACCAGCCTGAGCAAGAGCGAGACCCCGTCTCTACTATAAAGAGAAAGAAATTAATTGGCCAACTAATACATATAGAAAAAATTAGCTGGGCATGGTGGCGCATGCCTGTAGTGCTAGCTACTCAGGAGGCTGAGGCAGTAGGATTGCTGAGCCCAGGAGTTTGAGGTTGCTGTGAGCTAGGCTGACGCCACGGCACTCACTCTAGCCTGGGCAACAAAGTGAGACTCTGTCTCAAAAAAAAAAAAAAAAAAAAAAAAAAAAAAAAAAAAAAAAAAAAAAAAAAAAAAAGAAAAGAAAAGAAAGAAAGAAAGAAGCATCAGAGTGTGTCACACCTAAAAATGATAGGCATTCTTTCATGAAACTTCCATTGTTATATATGTGTGTGAGTCTGTGCACTGACAATTAGAAACAGCTCTCTAGAAGACACTGGGTGCTCACAAGCACAGTGAAGGCTGTTTTTCATGGTCTGATTAAGGAAAGGCCAACGATGCATTACTGAGTTGAAGACCCAGTGTTAAAATGCAGCAGCAGCAGAGTGACATTCAGTAGGGTACGGCCATCGACTGTCGGTTAACTCTATCAGATTCTCTAATGACAGGGGATGGGTATGGTCCATTCCAGCAAATGTGACTGTGGCTCTGCTTAAGGTAAAGTGGTTGGAAAGAGACACCTTTGGTCATTTGGTTATCTAGGCTGAACCATTCCCGGCCTCCTGGTGGTTGTTTCAGTCCCATTAGCATCACTGAAACCTGAGTACCTCTGAACACTCGAGAGAATTTCCGGGCCTCAGAGGCTCATAAAGTAAAATGAAGAGTGAAACTTAGCACAGGCTCCTGACCATGGTATACATGTGACAGGCACTCTCAGCCCCCGTTCTGACCAACGCCAGAGGTATCTTCTGACACATGAAAACAAAGTTCCCCCAAGACATAGGAATGGGAATAAAATTTAAATAGGAATTTAGAAAATGGACAAATACTGTAGAGTTATGGCAGAGCAGCAGACAAACCTGCACTAGGATCAGAAGCTGAAATTATAAGCTGGCTCCATCCTCTCTAGCTGAAGTGGGCAAGTCATGCCTCTGAGCTTCATTTTCACAAAATAAAATAATCTTGTCTCTCCTCCCTTTACAGGGATGTAAAGACCTGGAATACCTTTGGGATACTATAAGGTAGGAGCAACAGTTTGTTGGGGTTTAAAGTGGATTGGGTTTTGAGAAATCTATCGCTATTGGTTGACATTAGGAAGATGAATTAACTACTTTCATATGGACTGGAGCAATTTGTTGATAATTTACACCTTTAATTATAAAGCTGTCATGGGTGAATTTAAATCTAGACATTGGGTTCCTGGGACATGGGCAGGCTGAACTTACCGCATCGATCATCCTAGAGTTCCATTAATTTTCCTGAAAATGGTGTTGTGTGAGGAGAGTGAATTGGGAGTGGGTGGTGGTGGTGAGAATCTTTAATAAATCACAAGAGACGTACAAAATCAAGTGGGGATAAAACAAAGTGGTAAAGCCAAATAAGAAGTAGGCATGGTGATTTCCCTGGCTTAAAAACTGTACCCTTTTTCGTGCATCTCTTGGTCATCATCCACGTCATCTTTGTTTCTTGGAGAATCCTGCTCAATGGTAACCTGCTCTTCACCCTAGAAACCAAACATCAGGGCAGAGATGGGATAATGAGGACCCTAGGCGTAATGGACCCCAATCTTCTTTGCTTAAAACTCTGGCAAAGAACTTTCAGTAAGTCCCTTTAAATTATTATGCAAGAAGATGGCTCCTATTATCTACTGCACAGACATTTTGTTTCCTTCTATAATCACAAAGAAACCCAGGATCACATTTAATTCTCTCTTTCCTTCCAAAGGAGCAGTTGGTATTTTCTCCTTAAGAGATAGGCTCATATTTATGCTTTTTACTCCAGTCTCTACTGTAATCATTCAACCCCAGCTTCGTTTTCAGCCAAGTACTAAATGAAGTTAGTAACAGAGGCTGCGTAAATCTCCCTTAATACGCCGCCGGCTCTGTTGCCAAAAGGACTAAAACCACAGCTGGATTTATTTTCCTGGCAGCCCAAGGCTTGGTCCATGGATATGAATGCAAGCTCGGCACCTTGGAGAGCTGATAAACCTCCCCTTGGAACTAGGGTCCTTCTTTTCAGTCGGGCTAAAGGAGAGTATTTCTCTTACTCAGCCAGCCCTTGCTCTCATTAGCTGAGTGAAGTATACGCCTGGGCTAATTTTTTCATGGACAACCTTTCTAGGTACAGTTTGACGTCTCAGATATCCATGCCCATAATCCCAGGATGCAGAGGATTTCCTACCTGTCTCCACTCTGCAGTAATGTCTCAGACAATAGGTCTGGTACTGTTACCAATGGCTGTGGAAGCTGGGCAGAAGTGTACACATGTGGAACAGTTTTGAGTGTGCTCTAAAATGTATAATGATGAATCTCAGCTTTTGTTTTCTGTCATACCCAATAGGGCCTTTGATTATCTTAAAAAAAAATCATAGAAATAAACCATGAGCATGTTTCTGAGCTGAAAGGATCATCAAAAATCATATAGTCCTTAGATACCAAACTCCATTGTACTTCTGACCCAGATTACCTGTGTTTTCTGGGCTGGTCCCCAGAAACGAGGAAGGTGAGAGGATAATTGGAAGAGAAACTAGCTGAGTTCCGAGCTGCACTGAGTCCAAGCCCCAGTACTGCTGGGGACTGGGTAGAGATGAGTCTTACTCGTTTATTTACATCTAACGCCCAGCCTTGCCTACCGTTAATGTTTGGTAAAGTTTTTATTTAAATGACTTTAACTACTATTTCCTTCTAGTGAAAGAACCCCACATGGCCTACTGTCTATGAAGTAGCTAACATTACTATTGTTTTCTTCTCTTTTCATTTTTCAACCGTTTTTCATCTTTCAAAAACAGTAATAGCAAAACCTCTTTAACCCCCACAGTCATGACACCTGCCCCTTCTCCTTCTGCTCACAGCCAGAGCACTGCAGCCAGTTGCCCTCCCTTTTTTGTGTTCACTTCTCACATTCTGCTCACTGAGGCTGAGCTTTTACCTAATGGCTCCTGCCAAGGCCCCCCTAGGCCCGTTATTGCCAAATCCAGTAGCTACACCTTGGTCTTCACATTCCTGTTTACCATCATAAAATATCTAAAACATTTTTTGTTTGTCAAAGAACTGGAAAAAAAAATATATATATATATATATTTTAAAGAGCAGTTTTTGGTTCACAGCAAAATTGAGCTAAAGTGCAGAGGTTCCTTGTGCATCCCCCCTCCCCCTGCCCCTCTCCCTACAGCCTGGCTCACTGTGGACATCTGCCCCAGAGCAGTGCATTGGTTTCAACTGATGAACTTACATTGTCACATCAACACCACCCAGAGTCCACGGTTGACATTAGGGTCCACTCTCCGCGCTGTGCGTTCCATGTGTTTGGGCAGATGTATGACGACGTGCATGCCCCACGACGGCGTCACACACGATAGCTTTACTGCCTTAAAAATTCATCCCTACTTCCTCCTGACCCTTGCTCCCAGGAAACCACTGATCTTGTTTTACTATCTCCTTAGTTCTGCCTTTTCCAGAATGTCATATAGTTGCAATCATACAGTATATAGCCATTTTAGATTGGCTTCTTTCACTCGCTACTATGCATTGAAGGTTCCTCCATGTCTTTCCAAGGCTTGATAGTGCATTTCTGTTTAATGCTGAACACAATGCCCTGTGTGGATGCAGCACAGTTTATTTATCTAGTCATCTCCTGAAGGACATCAAGGTTGCTTCCAATTTTGGTGATTGTGAATAACGCTGCCATAAACATCCCTGTGCAAGTTTGCGTGTGAACCTAAGCACTGTTTTCTTTTTCCTCGAAGGATGTTTAGTAACATGACCATTTTCTAACAATATAGTAAGTGAAATAGATAATTACTTAATACTGTAATTTACATACTGTGACCCTAATACAGATGAGGCTTGCATGTGGCTGTATGTTTGCATAAAGGACAAAGGTCTAAGATGTTAAAAGGTACTGATTTTTTTTTTTCTTGAATTACAAGCCTTTTCTTTTGTCTCCCAAATTTTGCAATACTTTTTCAAGCTCTCTTTAAATAAAATCCTGCCCAGAATTCAAGATAAGTGAAATAAAACAAAGTTCCTCAGACTGCTGTAAGTTTAGGTGCCACTAAAGAACTGTAGGTCATTATGGATACAGTTTTAGAAACTTATTAATTATAGCCTTCCTCTATCTGCCTCATCTACTTTAAAATTCAGAATTTTTTTTTTCTTTTTAAATGCTCCTGCTTTTTGCCCTCGGAATGGATCTTGGAGTCCGTAATTGTCAAAGCCTGGGTACTTTTCCCATCAAGGAACTCTGAGGACAGGTGAATAAAAACAAATTCCCTGGCCGGGCGCGGTGGCTCACGCCTGTAAACCCAGCACTCTGGGAGGCCGAGGCAGGCAGATTGCTCGAGGTCAGGAGTTTGAAACCAGCCTGAGCAAGAGGAGACCCCGTCTCTACTATAAATAGAAATTAATTGGGCAACTAATATATATAGAAAAAACAAGCCGGGCATGGTGGTGCATGCCTGTAGTCCCAGCTACTCGGGAGGCTGAGGCAGGAGGATTGCTTGAGCCCAGGAGTTTGAGGTTGCTGTGAGCTAGGCTGACGCCACGGCACTCACTCTAGCCTGGGCAACAACGCAAGATTCTGTCTCAAAAAAAAAAAAAACAAATTCCCTTTGTTTGCTCATGTGTGTTTTCTTCCCGACTCTGAGACTCTGACTTACACACTATAATCACCATTTAATTTGTTCCTGTGAGCGCCGGCGGGGGGTCACGCTTTCTGTCTCCGCCATTGGCAAGGGCCTGTTGCACAGCGGTTACCATGGCACCGGAGTCAAACAATCACCGTCCAAACATACCTGTTTGGTGTTTCCGTGCTCCCCGCTTTGCACGGCTCTGTTCCGAATTGAGTTGTTGTTTTCTGACGTGTTCTGGTTTTTAAGACAGTTTTCTTCTTCCTAAGGTAAAAGTACAGATTGCAAAAATAAAATGTCAGTGCCAAGAAACAAATGTTCTTCGGTGAATGATACCCCGGAGAGTTTTGAGGGATGAGACAAGCAAAGGTTAGGTGTTCAGACGAGGCATCTGATCCAGGAAACAGCTAGTGCACCTCCGGCTCATAAAGTAGCAGCTCATTTTGGCTTTGTTTTGCTCTAAGCGAAAGGATGGCTGTGGTCCAACTTGAAGGAAAGAGCGGGGTGGACAATCGCCCTCATGTAGGCCAGGCAACTTTGATAAGCTGAGCAGGGACGAGGGGGCAGGTTTCCACTCTCCTTTCTATCACATCACACAGGTTTCAACTTAAAAAATGAAATAAAATGTAGTAAACCATAGGTTGGATAATTTTATTCCTAGATGTTGGATTTATGAGATGTTGAGATGCACTTTGTTTGGTTTAAAGCAATCTCTGGTAGTAATGAGCATTAGAAAAATGCCTTCTGGTGAAGCAGTCTTGCTTTTACTTTAAGGAACTGAGTAAGGTTTCCCCTGGGAGGGCTGTCCTGGCCTTGGCCATAGTTTCCAGAAGTGATGAACACCTGATTTGTTTCCTTTTAATCTCTTTTGGGGTGTCTTTCTCCCATCTCATCCCAACTTGCCCTTTTCTCTGTTAAGTCCACTGAAAAATGGTGTCAGAAATGCCCCTTGCAAGCCCCAGGGCTTTGACCTTCTCTTTGAATAAAGGCCAGGTGATGACTTCGGTTTTGAAGTTAGGTCTCTGGCCCCAAGAGTTTGGAAAAAATACTGTAGTCCCAACTTGCATTGCATTTTCCACTTATTGAAAAACAAGATTGAATAAGCATGAATAACGTCTGACAGCACACACATGACATATGCATATCAGTATCGTTGCCATACTTCCTTCTGTGTTACAGTAGTTTACATCTTACTTTAGCATGGTTCCTTGCACACAGATCAATTATGTGGGTTAATGAACCACGGTGATTTTAACGTTGCATTAGCACAGCAAAGTAGTACCTCTGGGTGCCTGGTATGAAAACACAGCATGGAAGGAAAACATATGTATACACATACGCATATACATACTTTCAAGTTAAAAACAGTCGAGCATGAGCTGGTGGAATAACAGGACATAGGTCACTGCGGGGCTTAGTCCTTAGGGCTAAATACATGTGTGACACTGAGCAAGTCACATCATCCCAAGCCTCAGCCCCCCATGTGGCCAACACACTTTCAGTTTGGTGTCTTGGGGTCCCTCCCAGGATCCTGACATTTGCTGGTTCCATTAGGAGCATCGGCTTCCTGGTGCTGATCACTCCTGCCACCTAGTGGCAGGATCTGAGAATTACTTGTGGACCCAGGATGGATCCTGCCTTTTTAAAGTTAATAAAAGCAGAAGGGTGTGTGTGTGTGTGTGTGTGTGTGTGTGTTGGGGGGATAATGTGGGTGCTTTTTAAAAGTGGCAACAAAGGTGGAGGCAGGAGAATTGATTAATACCAGGGGTCTGAAGTTGCTGTGAGCTGTAATGTCGCCCCACACACTGTAGCCCAGGCAACAGAGTTGACACCCTGTCTTCAAAACAAAACTGACAAAAGCAACTCAGCATGTGTTTTTCGGTGCGTGATGAGATTATCGTGGCACTGGCAGAGTATATGCCTTGGCCTTTTAGTATTTTCAGGAAGCACAATGTCACCCACTTGAGGATTTGCTGCAGAATTAATGGGGTTATTGTGGGTGTTGATTAGTACCTGGAAATTGACTGTTGAGACAACTGTTTTGCTTCTTTTCAAATTACGCCCATGGGGCTGCTGTATGGGGCCCCAGATGACGTCACAGCCCATTGTTTCTATCTATTTAGCAATTCAGATTACTAGTTACTTTCCATGCCTAGCCTCCTACTACCATGACTGTTCTCAGGGCTTACCTGCCCCTCCACTGAACGGGTAAGAGGGTTGAGAGAGTTGCATAAGAGTGTTTCTAGGCAGTTTTCACGTGCCACTTTTAATTAATTAATTTCAGGTAGTTATCGTTCTTAGGTGTGCAGAAGGGCGATGACCCTGGATTGAACCCACTTTGAAGGGCAGATCCTGGTAGCTAGGAGCACATTGTGCCTGGGAGTCTATTTCCTACCAAAATCTCTTTGATCCTACACTTCCTGTTTCTCCAGTGAGGACAGATCCACAGTGGCTGTTAACAGGGAGGCACAGATGGATTTTCACCCTTTTATTCTAAGCCACGATAAGTTTGAGAACATTGGACATTACTGAAATTACTCCCCTCTCCCTCATTTGTGGTAGCCCATTTAAAGAGTTTTAGCTGACACAGGGCCATCTAGAAAAAAGGCTACATTTCCAAACTTCCTAGATTCTTGCCAATGAAATGCCAGTCGCAGGAGTCCTCAGGGGGGCAGCTCAGGGAATGTTCCTTAAGGAAGCTGGCAGGTGCTCTTGGTTCCTTTGGTCCTTTCCTGGCTTTCTGCCTGGTGTGTGGATAGCTCCATCTGGGCCAGAACACAAGGCCCACATCCCAGTGGGGAGTGGGAGGAACTCAGGTCCCGGCCACCTGTGGGTGGCAAAGCACACTCACACCAGCTCTGCGCCACCCACCCCAAGACTTCTATACGGATGAAATTAACTTCTCACGTAGTAGTGGTAAAGGCGATGGACTAGAAATTAACTTCTCCCTTGTTGCTTTTGGTATTTCCTTTTATTTTGCTCTGAATGATACAGTAGTTAGTAGATACAAAAGTTCATAGATAACAAAGTTTTGCGTTTGGTCCTCCTAAGAGGCCTGTGAAGTGGGTACTGTGATCTCCATTTTTACAGATGAGAAAACTGAGGCAAAGATAAGTGAATCACTTGACTTGGGTTACATGGTCAGAAATGGCTGGGGTGGGACCTCAACCTGGATTGCCCATGCCCAGCCCACACTGTGTCTGGAGAGCTTGACCCTTTGCACAGTCCTTAGCTCGCACATACGGAAAAATGTACTAGTCTGCCTACCAGTATAACTCCCGTTGGCTCCCTTTCAATTTACAAAGTGCGATCTGAACCCTAGGTAGTAAAGGGTAGAAATGATACAAGTATTGCAAGTGCCAGAGGGACCTGTGGCTGCTTTTAAATTACACTTAGGCTCTGATGGTCATCTCTTAACCCAGAATAGTGGACTTGCCCGCCCTGACCCTGGTTTTAAGTGGACTCTATCCTTCTAAGTGGGCACTCCTGCCTTTGTGGACATGTCCAGTCTTCATGGCTACTGTGACATTCCCCAGCCTCTCCCTACCACTCTGCTCTGATTGCACAGCCTGGATTCCCTTCCTCAGCTCCTGTGGCCGTGATTTCCCTGCTGCACACTGGCGTGACGGTGCCAGGGAGCCTTTCTTCTCTACAGCGTTTGCCCTGATTGTACGAGGGGCCTTGCTCAAAGGGCACAGCTGGGCTCGAGGCCCGAGGTAAGCACGGAAACCTCAAGCACCCAGGAGACGTTCACCCTGACCTTTGGCAGGATGCAGGTGTGCCCAGCTGTCCAATGTGATGCTGACAAGGACTCTCTAGGGAGTCATGAAGACTCCGGAGCCTGGCACTTTACAGCGAGTTCTGTGAAGTGTTTGATAATATACCTCAAATGGAAGGCTTTACACTATCGGATCAGATTGAGACTGGTGACCAAAGTTGCTTACTTTATGTTACCATCTATCTACGTACTGTATCTGGTTAATTTCCACATCTCTGTACACCTCTAAAGAAGCAATTTGCCTAGAAGCAGTCAATATGGTGCATTCTGAGAAGCTGTGATGCCTTAGATATTGCCATGAATGTCAGGCTCCCGATGCCTGAGACAAAAAGGGGACTATGATATCAATTGGACTTGGGACTGTGCACATCTATAAATCTGTGTTTTACCCACTGGACGCTAAGCAACTGGGTACTCTGTCCTCCGTTCTCTGCTGGATGGAAAAGTTATTCCCAGAGGCTGTTGAGCTTTATAGCATATCCAGAATTGAGCAGAAACCAAGTGGTAGGGGTCTGCTCTCTCCTGCAAGAAGGTTCCCTTATTTATAATATTCTAAGACTCAGTTGTACAAATGAAGGTGTCAGAAATACATCTGCAATTTCTATTGTTTTTCTGAGCTTCTTCAAGTGATCTAGCCTTCCTGTATGCATTTCTCTGAACATGGAATGGGACTAGAATAGGGCAACTGCCTCAAAAGGTAAATAGATCACAGACATGGACTCAACATAAACCTTAATCACTGTTTTTTGGGAATATGGATAGTTATTTGCAAACATTAATTGGAGTTGTGTTTGTGATTACAAGCTTGGGTTCCATGATCAAACTTGGGTTCAAATCCAGGCTGAATTTTGAGGGCTCATACCACGTCACCTGGGAATGGAAGTGGTACCTACCTAGCAGGGTTAGGTGGCTCAGTCCAAAGTGCATGGCAAATGCTCAGTGACTATCATGTTAATTTTATGGTTTTGTTTTTCTTCCCACTTGCTTGTTCTGGGGCTATTTACAGTCTCTTTGTCCTCAATATTTGAAAGTTGCCTGTCAAAGTCAACATCTGTTTGGTGAATCTTATCTCTCCAAACTGTTTGGGATCATTCTCTCACCCCTCTCCCCCTCTTTTTTTTACTTTTTTATAATCTACCAATGTCAAATGTTTTAAGGGCATTTCTCTATAAAATTATTCTCTGATTGTCTGGACTTTGCCCAGGAATGATTGCATTTCTATCTGGAAGTCTTTGTTCTTTCCTACAGTTCTTGAACCACTCGGCTGGTGTTAACCTTCTGGCTCAAGTCTTGGGTTTGTGTAATCCTTAATGTGAGTTAATGGGCACTAGGCTAGACCATTTTTTTTGAGAGCTTCCCGTTTTTCCTGCTTCTCAGTAAGGAGCCACAGCACCTGTGGGAAGAGACCCCCATGGTCAGCCTGGGGCTTGTTGCCACACTTCCCTGGCACAATTGTCTGTTATCTCTTAGTGTGGAGGGGTCTCCG